TGGGTGAGGAGGGTTCTCTGGGAGACCTGATAGTAAGTGGAGGTGGTTGAGGAGCCCTAAATGGGTTTTGTGACCCTCCCACCACCTCAGCACTGACTGTTCCCTTCCAGGGCTGGTTTCACTCTTGGTAAAGTAGAGTTTGGTCTAGTAATGGACTCTATGGGCCTGTGGGATCCGGCTTCCTGTTTCCCCAACTGACCTGTCCAGCCTTATGCCAGCCTCTTGCTTCCCTGCAGGGGTGTGGGGTGGGGATGGGCTGGCTGGAGCAGAGCCCCCTCCCTGCCTGCCCTTGGGGCTTCAGAACACATGGTGTCGCCATCCCCTTGCCCTCCTAGCTGGCACCTCAACTCCCATGTCCTGTCCCCCCACCACAGCTCCCCTCTGCCCACCCAGGCAGGGATCCCCTAAAACTTCCTCCTGAGAAATCCCACTGTCCACTCTGATTGGTGGCTTCCATGCTAGAAACTCCCAAAGAGCAAGTCCGAGAGCCCAGTGCTGTGCCAAACCCTGTTTTTTGGAGGGCGAGGATTGGGGCTACGCCTGGCAGTGCTCAGGGCTTACTCCTGGCATTGCTGGGGGACCATATGCTGGGGGTCGAACCCAGGTTCTGCCACACGGAAGGCCAGTGCCTGGTTCCTGTACTCCCCCTCAGAACCCCACAGGCAGATGAGAGCAGCGAGGACATGGGCTCAGGGGGCTTGATGGGCAGCACTCGGACAGGACAGATGCAGGGGAGGTGGAGGCCTCCGCTGCGGTCCCTCGGGGATGAGACCTACACATCCTGGGACTCGCTCGCTTTCTTCAGAGAGCAGAAAACGGTGCCCCCAGCCCCACGCCCCGATTCAGTCTTCTCTTGCACTTTGCCCCTTGTGCCAACGTGGCTCTGCCTTCTGCTGCAGCTGCCCCAGCCTGGGCCCTGCACCTCCGGGGAGCTACGTCCCCGAGCAGACCTCCTGCCGGCTCCCAGTGGTCCCCAACCTACTCGGGGTTCCCTGGGCCCTTCGACCGCCCTTGGGGGCACGACAGTCCCTCACCAGAAAACCAGACCTCCCCTTAGCCCTGCCTGCCTCCCTCCCACTCTCCCCCTTCCTGCAAGTCCAGTCTACACTCCTGCTTCACCTTCAACCCACTTCAACCTGGCTTCTGTCCACTCGCATCTGCTTGCCCCGAGCCCTTCTCCCTGCTGCTGACCGGCTGCGTGTCTGGGGTCCTTACTGACCAGACCCCTCCCTGTTTCCCTGTCCACCTCCCCCCTTCGGGGTCCCCCCAACCCGACTCAGCTCTGCCATCTTCCCTCCAGGCTCTCTGGGGCTCACTGCCTACCCCCATCTCCTTCTGGGCTCCCCGGTGGGGCCCTCTTGCTTTTGTTGCCCGGAGCTGAACTCACCTGACTTCACTGCACCTTCGCCTGCTCGGCCAGTCCAATCAGTGTGGGGGGTCTCACCTCCTCCAAGAAGCCTTCTGTAAGGCCTGCAGTTAGCTCCGTGACTCCTGTGTTCAGACCTGAGGCCCCCTGGGGTTCCTTGAGGACCAGGATAGCTCAGGGGAACCCGGGTCTCCAGCCTTCCCCACTCCACCTGGCTCTGGGGTCCCAAGTGACCCCCACTTTTCCTCATCAGGGAGCTTTTCCAGCAGGGAGCTGGGTCCAGGGGGCAGGAGGGAGAGCCGGTCCAGGGCGCGGTGCCGCCTCTTGTCTCCCCTCCACCCGCGCGCGGAGCCACAGGTCCTGACCCCTTGTCTGCTCTGCAGGGCGCTCAGGCTGGGGTGCAGAGGCATCTCCTTATTCTTAAGCACAGGGAGCTCCGGTTCCGGTTCCCAGACCCTCCTCATGCTCCCTCCAGCCCCGAGCTGGTGCCGCCCACGCCCCTGCCCGCCCCTCACTCACCCGGGCTCTCCCGGCCTCTGGCTCCGCTTCAATCCCAGGAGCTGCTCCTCTCCCCTGGCGCCCACTCCCCTGGTCCTGCTCGCGTTTCCAGCTCCGCGCGGCGCAGCGAACCCCTCTCCCGCCCACTGGCCGCGGTGTAGACCGACTCTGGACTCTCGGGAGACAGGGATGGAAGCTTTGCTGCTCACTGAGTGAGGGGCGGATCCCACCTTCGCTAGAAGTTCCTCGGGAAGGGCTAGTAGCTGGCGTCCCTTCCCCACAGCGCACTTAGGAGTGGGTGTGGCCACCGTCCTCCAGGACGCTAGTTGGGGGTAGGTGTGGACTGACTCTCAGAGCCTGGGGAGCTCCCCACCCCCTTCATGCAGTGGCTCCCCACTCAATCTCCATCCTCCAGATGTGTGTGTGGGGGTGGGGGGGCGCTCACGCCCCTCCTGCAGGTGGAGACCCTGAGGCTTGGTTCCCACTGCCCCTGACGAGTTCCTAGCAGCAGGGTTGGGTGTGCGCTGCCTGGAAGAGGGTCTGACTAGGGCTGGGGCACAGAACCGGCTCCAGGTTGGAGCAGACTGACTGGCCCAGCGCCTGTCACCGTCCTCTCGGGCACAGAAATACTGGGGGCCTGAGGCCAGCAGAGGGGAGAGGGCACCTCCCCGACCTGGCCCGCCCCTGCCTGCTCAGCCTGAGCCCTTGGTCCCAAAGCACAGCTGGAAAGGCAGGTGTCTCCGCAAGGGTGGCCCCAGTGGCTGGGGCGTAGCTTGGGGTGCCCTTGGGTGCTGTGTCTGCACCAGGATCACCTGGACTGGGGCAAGAGGCACCTTGAAAATACAGAGCCTGGGAGAGAGAGAATGCCGTTTCTGAGAATGCCGACCAGTTTCAAGAGTGCTCGGACCTTCACCCCGCCCTTCCCCAGTGATCCCAGCCATCTGCCTCTGGGATCATTCATCCCTTAACTCACTCTTCTCTAGCTTGCAGCGCTCCTGCCGCAGACCCTGCTCCACGTGACACCCTGGGGGCCCCCTGCCCCCCTCAGACTCCATGCACCCTACCCAGCTCTCCCCCTTTGGCACCTGCCCTGGGGGGGAGGTGGCAGGAAGAAGCTTTCCTGGTTGCAGGTGCAGTCCTGGGCAGGGGCATGGTTGGGGTCAGAATTGGAGGCCCCAGGGCAGTGAGCCAGGAGGGTTGAAGGAGGTGGGGTGTAGCCGAGCCTCCTGGGGCCCCTGGGAGCTCCGTGTCCACCAAGCTCGGCTCCAGGAGTAGTCCCTGGGTCTGGCTGGGGAGAGAGGCCTGAGTCCTTTCCTAAGGCCCTCAGCTTCCCCTCTACAACTGCATGGTCTCCCCGACTTCCAGTTGGTTTTCCAGTACCTACTGGTACCTCTGTGAGCTCTGGCTCTTGCCCAAACTCTTCTTTTTTCCTTTGGATTTTGGGCCACACCTGGCTGTGCTCAGGGCTTATAACCTAGCTCCACATTCAGGGATTACTCCTGGTGGGCTTAGCGGATCAGACGGGATGTCAGAGACTGAGCCTGGGTTTGCCACGCGCAAGGCAAGCGCCTTACCCACTGAACTTTCTCTGCTCCCTGCCTGAACGTTTTTTTTCTTTTTGGGTCACACCTGGCAATGCACAGGGGTTACTCCTGGTGCTGCGCTCAGGAATTACTCCTGGCGGTGCTCAGGGGACCATATGGGATGCTGGGAATCGAACCCGGGCTGGCCACGTGCAAGGCAAATGCTCTACCTGCTGTGCTATCACTCCAGCCCCCCCCCCCCATGGGAAGAATAGGTACATCTCCCCGGAGTGATAGGGGCAGTGATGTGGGTAACTCAGTGGCACATGGAAAAGTCAGGGAGGCTTCTGCTTGGAGGATGAGACTCTTCCTGGCTGACCTTCTGCTCCCAGAAACAGGCCACAGGCCACATGGGCAGGTACCTCTGTGGTGGGCAAAGGTAGCTGAGTAGCAAGCAAAGGTAGCTGAACTCCTCTGCTGAGTTCAACCCCCCTGGACCAGAAACCCAGGAACTGTTTTCCAGTAGAGTTAAGCCATTAACTTAATCGAGCACCTACTGTGTGTCCTGACTGTGCTAGACCCAGAAAGAAGTGGCACAGAGTAGGTTGAAACGGGCTGTTTAATAAGGACGAACCTGCCACGCAAGATCAGGATGTTGTTAAGGAGACAGATTTTTCTGAACTGGTCTTTGAAATTAGGAAGTTGTTCTTTGCAGTTTCAGGGATCGAATCCAGGGCTTCACACAGGTGAAGCTCTATCGCCGAGGCCCAGAGGCGGGGGGTTTTGATAAGTGGAGGGGAAAGGGGCGACCAGGAGATGCAGCAAGACAGGATGGTGCTTATGTGGTTGGGGAGGTGGAAGAGCAGGAACCGGGAAGATGGTGGGCTGTGGAGAAGAGCCAGGTCATGCTAAGCCTTGAGTGGTGGACTAAGGCTGAGGTCCACGGCAGGGGAGCCGCCTCCTCCTGGAAACCTCCAGGTCCAGGCCCACGGGCTCTTGGCACAGCAGGAACTCTCTGTTTGTCAGGGGCCAGGAGCTTCCAGGAATGTGGGGATCTTGATCCTGGATGCTGCAGTGGTCCCCGAGGAGTGTCGCCCCCTGACTAGGCAGTGAGGTCGAAGCCAGAGCCAGGTCTGGGGGCCCAGAGGCTCCAACAGAACTCCCATCTGGTTCCTAAGGGCCTGTGGTTCTTTATTAGGTCAAGCAAGGGACTGGGCTATCCCTGGACCCCAAATTCCAGTCAAATGAATCAACTGATGAAAAAGGGAAGGTGGCAGAGCCGCAGCCCAGCAGGAGAGCCCCGGCAGAGAACTGGGAATGGGGAGGAGGTGGCCTGTGGCATCCTCCTAGGGATCCAGACCCTGCCCCCGAGCCACAGACAAGACATTCCCAAAGGCCTTGGAGTATGTGTGTGTGTGTGTGTGTGTGTGTGTGTGTGTGTGTGTGTACAAGGGCCTTGGGGTGTGTGGGGAGGGTACAGGCCTTGGGGTGTGTCCAGGAGCTTGGGGAGCAGGCATGTCCAGTGTCTCCAGGCTTGGTTCACCTTGCTGCTGGGCGCAGATTGCTCTGGGGTCCTGGAGGTTGCAGGAAGGGTGGGCGCTCTGCACCCCATCTCAGCCCTCCCCAGTCCCTCGGCCCCCCGGCTTCAGCTTCTCCAGGGTTCTGCTCACGGTTGACAGGCTGCTGCGGCCTCCTGGAGAGCAGGATGGAGTTGTCTGAGGAGAGGGGCCGGGGCAGCAGGACAGAACATGGGGATGGGAGCAGAGCCGTGACTGGGTCACTGGCCCTTCGGAAGGGTCGCCGGACCGCCCTGCAACTCTGCCCTGTTGGTCACTCAAGCTCCTGGTGCTCCAAGGCTCCACGCAGAGATGGGGCTAATTCTAGTGCCGGCTCCGGGGTCATTCTGAGAGTAAGGGGACAGGCTGGTGGAGGCCAGTGTCTGAGCTAATGACAGACACTGCAGCGTGCTGGGCATCCCAGATGCCTGCCTGGAGTTTTCCAGCATGGGGGTGGGGAGCAGGAGGGTGCTTTGGGTCAGGGACTGGCCAGAGCTGGAGTCCAGAGCAGAAAAGGGGCGCGTGGGCCTGGGGGAGGGCAGTCAGCGGCCTCTGACCCCGGCTGCTGGGGCTACTGGGGAAGTCCCTGCCTGTCCCCCAAGGGTTCCCCGGGGATTCTGGAACTGACCTTCTTTGCTGTCGTTGGCGCTGGACTGGCCCTCCCCGCGGTCTGGTGCCGGGTGCGGATGGATGCGCAGGCTGCCTGCGGAGACCAGCCCACGGCCCTTAGCAAGAGTCTCGCCCTGTGCAGGCCCAGCTCCTGAGAACCCTCGGGTGTCCCTGCAGTCTACACTGATGTGGGGAGAAGAAACAGGCCCTCGAGAACATGAGCCCCTCTGAGGAGGCGGGGCTTTGGGGGAGACCTTGGGAATGTGAATCCCGCAGGACCAGTGGAGACTGGTGCAAGAATGTGGGGGGCTTCGCTGAGAAGGGGAGCTGCCCAGGGTCCAGGCGGGAGCTCGGGGGTGAAGCCCTGAGTGGTCTGGGGGAGATGGGAGCCCCAGAGGCAGGAGCCTTCAGGCACCTTGACAGAGGCTGTGAGCAGGCTGGAGTTGCTCCACTGCAGGCACAGCACAGCACACCACACACACACACACACCACACACACCACACACACCACAAACACCACACACACATACCACATAGCACACACCACATACCTCACACACCACACACTATACACCACACCTCACACATACCACACACCACACACAAAACACCACAAAATACACACCACACACGTTTCACAACCCGTACCACAAACACACAAACCACACATATTACACCATACCACATACACACTTCACACCACACACATCACACCACACATACCACACACAGATCCCACAGACTATGCATATATGCCACATACTACATACACCACACACACCACAAACACCACACACACACACCACATAGCACACACCACACACCTCACATACCACACACACTATACTCACCACACCACATATACCACACACCACATAATACACACCACACACACGCCACACCACCACAGATACCACATACCCAAGCCACACACACACAAACCACACACACCACACCATACACATACCACACCACATACCACACATCGCACACACCACGCATACACCACACACATCACACATACCATCCACACACCACAATACCAGACACACCACACACACTAAATATCACACAAACCACACCACACACAACACATACACAACATACACTATACACACCACAGGCACCCCCCACATCACCTACATACCGCAACACCACCCACACCACCCATACTGCAACACCACACACATCATATCACCCACACCACACCACACACAACACATACACCACACACATCACACACACCGCACACTACCCACACCACAACAACACACACACACACACACACACACACACACACACAGGCTGAGCCCTTACACACAGCTGCAGTCCTGGGCAGAGATTGTGCTGGGACTCACCTAGCGCAGGCAGGATATGGTCCAGGTTGAACCGCGCCTTCAGGAAGGGGTAGGCCAAGAGGAGGAGTCCTGAGGCGGGAGAGAACCGGCGGAGGGGCAGTGAGGAAGCCTGGGGTGTGGGTGGCTCCCCACACCTGCACACCGAATGGGGGTGGGGCGCAGGGCTTGTGTCTCTCTGCCCCCTGTCCCCAGATGGAACACAGCCAGCTGTCACCGCTCTGCTGTCCGTTGCCCTGCCCCCCACCCCTTCCCCTAGGAAGACCGGGGTTCCTCTGCCTGCTCCGCTCCACCCAGACCCAGAGGATCCTGCCCGCCCTCCCCACTTCATCTGACAAGTGTTGGGGCCCAGGCGGGAACTGGCGTGCTCCCGTGCCCAGGGTCTCCCACTGCCGCTTCTAGTTCTGCTTTCGGCCCAGGACAGTGAGGGGGGAAGGAGCCGCTAGACAGGTGGAGCCAGACAGATGGGGGTGGGGAAGGCATCTCCTTTATCACCCCCAGATGGTGTTATGGCTCCGGAGTGGCCCAGAAGTCTGCTCTGCTCCTGAGCCCCGCTGCCCCCCTAAACCCAATAAACTAGACTTGGGTTAGAGAACGAGGGGGTGCAGAGCACAACGTGAAAGCCCACCCATACACCCTCCCTCCCCTTCCGGTTCCCTGCCCGGGGGGCCCCCCCCACCCCAAGCCCAGCACTGCTCACCCAGGCCAGCGGCGCCCATGAAGATCCCGCCCAGAGCAGCCGCGGCTTTGGACACGGACACACCAATGATGATGCTGCCGGCCGCCAGGCCCAGGGCCACACAGGCCAGCTGCAGGCAGCGGAAGTCACGGCTGCTGATGGGGCCGTCCATGCAGCTGCTAGGCCTGGCCCCAGACACGCTCCGGTCCTCTCCAATGCCACCTGGGCCACGGCTCCACTTTCAGGGTGGGGAGTTTCTGGACAGAAGATTCTGGGATCCTTGGATTTCTCTGCAACCTTATCCCACAGCTCCCCAGCACCCCCACACCCCTCAGTCCACCTTGACCTGGAGCTCAGCCAGGTCAGCCCAGCTGGTTTTGTCCCCTAGGGTCCTGCAGGGCTAGAGATCACACCCCACTTCCAACTACTGCCCCGGCACCCAGCCCAGCCTTGAAGACGGCTGGGCCTGCCCCCCGGATCTCTCCTGCCACCTCCTCTCAGAAGAGCCCACCCCAGACATCCTGCCCCACTCCCTGAGTGAGCAGCTGCCCCATGCCGGCCTATTAAAGATTAAAGCCGCGGGGAGCCGGTCGGGACTTTCCTCCCTCTCTCCTCCGTGCTGAGTTATTCATGAGGCTGCAATGTGAGCTGTGGCCAGCAGCCAGGGGCCCACAAGGCCTTCGGCCCAGGTTCCACTGGGACTTCTTAGGGCACAGGTGCAACGCTGGGGGCCCCAGGAGTCTGCAGTGCAGGGGACTCCTAGCCACATGTTTGGGATTACTGAGCTGTTCTTTGCCCTTCAGCTTGGACATGCTCCTGAGCCTCTGCTTGGGGCCTCAGAGACAGAAGGAAGCACCAGAAGAGCAGCCCCCCAAATCCAGTCTCTGTCCCTCCCCGCCACCCCCCCTGCTCCCCCCATCCTGTCAACCCCTGGGTCTCCAGGTAGAGCAAGGGTCTCTGCTCCCTGCAGATCTCAGGGACCCTCTTCTTTTCAGGTATACTTTAGCACCCCTATCGTTGCCCAAGAATTGGGGTGAGCCCTTCCACCCCACTGGGGTCCCTGGGTAGGGGAGGACAACAGTGGAGGACGGAGGAGGCAAAGTGTGTCGGCCAGAGGCAGCTGAGGACCCGGCAGGCCATGGGTGTGGGGGGCAGGAGGTGGGTCACTCCTGAGCCTGGACCGAGCTCCTCTGCCCATGGGAGGCTGGGCAGCTGCCGCGCAGCCCAGCACTGACCTGCCTGGAAAAGCTGAAAGCCTTTAGTGAAAATCGTGTTCCTGCCCCTGCTAATGAAGGCTTCTGTTTTTGTTTTTGGGTCACACCTGGAGATGCTAAGGAGTTCCTCCTGGCTGTGCTTGGGGGACCGTCTGGGATGGCAGGGATTAAACCTGGCTTGGCCGTGTGCAGGGTAAGTGCCCAACCTGCTGTATGATAGCTCCAGCTCCATGGATGAAGGCTTCTCTGACATCTGGGAATGGGCCTGACTCCAGAGCACAGCCCCCAGGGTCTGGATCTTCCCATCTCTCCCTGTCACATCTCTGTCCCATGTAGACAGGTCACCCACCTCCGAGCTGTGCCCTGCCCTCACCTCACCCCGTTGCCCTCATGTCTGACAGCCTCTGCCATCTGGAGAACTCCTCCTCATTCTGCGGAACCCTGCTCTGGGAAGCCTTTACTGACAGTGCTTGAGTGAATGCACTGCTTCCCACGGTTGCCATATCCCCATGCTGAAGTGCCCTCCTGCCACCTGTGGCCACTCCATAGATACTCCAGGCTCCACAGAATGCCATGCTGGAGGGACCTGCACCAGACTTCTGGGCACAGGGACAGAGCCCAGCCTGTGGGCACTAGGGATTGTGGGCACCCGGGGAAGAAATTCTCACTTCCTTGGGTGGAGGGTGGAGGTGCAAAGTAACCAGAGTTCCCTGAACTAAGAGGTCACTGAAGGCAGTTACTGTCAGGATGGGCAGGGCCAGGTGTGATCAGAGGTGTGGAAAGAGAAGAGGGAGGAGGAGGGGGAGGAGGGAGAGGAAGGCAGGTGGAAAGAAGAAAGGAAGGAAGGAGAGGAGGAGAAGAAGGAAGGAAAGGAAGAGGAGGGGGAGGAAGGAAAGGAGGAGAAAGAAGAGGGGGAGGAGGAGGACCAGGAGGAGGGAGAGGAAGGAGAGAGGAGGAGGGGGAGAAGGAAATAAAGGGGGGAGGAAGAAGGGGAGGACAGAGGGTAGGATGGGGAAGGAAGAGGGTGAAGAGGGGGAGGGGGGTAGAAGGGGAGAAGGAGGAGGGGAGGAAGGAGATAAGGAGGGGGAGGAGAGAGGGGGAAGCAGGCGGAGCAGGAGGAAGGGGGTGCTCCTAGCTACCGTCCTGCCCCTGCCGCTGTGCCTGCCTCTCCAGGAAGTGGTCTCATTAGCCTTGTAATTAAAAGACAGCCCCTGTCTCAATCACATGTAACTGATCCCCTACTGACTAGTTTTGGAAGGAGCCGTGCAAATAATTGTCCACGAAAATGTACTCCAAGATGTCAAGCGTTGGGACTCCGAAGCCCCGCACAAGGCCCGCGGGGTGTTTGCTCTCAGTCCTGGAATCCACAACTGGGCGCCGTGACCCTGCCCAGGCTTCACTCTGCTCATCTGGCAGATGGGAAGGCAGAGGCGGGGAGGCCTGTGCACTAGAGATTCCGGCTGCCAGAACCCCCGTCTGCCCCAACCTCCCCGTAGTGGAGACCTAACTGAATCTGAGTTTGCTGGGGTGTTGCAAATCCCTCAGGGCACGGATGGAGAAAATAGGGAATAACATTCATAAACCATTCTCAGTAAAAGCTCTTCAGAACACAGACCTATCCCAGCTCGTCCTAGAGCGCACGGGGAAACTGAGCCCAGGGTGGTGGAAACCTTGCCCCAGAGGCCCTGTTGACCCTGGTGTGACTCTACCCCAAAGCTTCTAAATTGTCTTCCTTGAGGTGGGAGGAATTGGCCACCCCAACAGGAGTGGAGACATTGTGTTCAAGGGAACCTTCCAGGCCTCCTCTCTTCTCTTCTGACAGGGGAGTGTCATTAAATGCCACCTGAAGTGTTCGTGCTGCTAAGTCCTTCCTAAGCGTGGGCTAAAGGGAAAATGCCTGCCTGGCCTTGGCTGCTGTGCTTGTCCCGGGAGGGAAATGAGTGACAGGAACCTGGCTCTGTGGGGGCCGCTGAACTGGACCATCACTGCCCACCTGTTCCCCCTCCCAAGTCTCGGAGACCCCTTGCTGACTCCAGGTTTCCCCCATGCCCCGGACTCAGCTGTCCCGAATTCTCGGTCACTGTGCTCTGGCAGTCTCTTTGTCTCCTGGTGAGGCCAGGCTGGAGGTGGCTCCATGCTCTTCCTTTCCAGAAGCACCAGGTGCAAGGGTGGTGGAGTGGGTGGGAGAGGCAGCGGGGACAAAAAGGCCCCAGCTTGGAGTAGTTCTGTTTGTTTTCCTTAAGGGGTGAGGACCCTAGGAAAAAAAGCATGATTAATTCTCAGAGCCCCTGGGGGCCAGGCAGCTTTCCTGATGGTTTGGAAACTGAAGTCAGGAAGCGGCTTCCAAGGCAACTGCTACCATGGCAACAAGAGTGCCAGCTTTGGGGGACCTTGCTCTGCAGACTACGCAGCTGGAGCTGGTGCAGGGGACCATGGTACTGCTGGCTTGAGCTGGGCCTACAAAGGAAGGAGGGGGCCCACACCCCAAAGCTCAGGTAGGCAGACGCAGAAAGACTTGCTCCTTAGCCTGGGACCCTGGATGGACATAGGAGAGCACAGGGTGTGCTGGAACCAAGCTGGGCTTTGGCCAAGACCTGATAACAGGATTAGAGCAGGAGGCCTGAGGTCTGAGATATGCAGTCAAGGGGGCCCAGCTCTTTCCCGAGCCCGGCCCCGGGGAAGCCTTTGAGCCACCATGGTTCCAGGTGCCTGAGCCATATTGTCTCTGCCCAGTGGAGTGGGCCACAAGGCCTGGTCCTCAGAACAGGTCACCCGGTGGCCAAGGAAGGACTAGAACCCAAGCTCTTCCTCTGCTACCAAAGCTCCCTTGGGACAGAGTGAAGCCCACAGGACGGAGGAGCCTCAAGGGTCCAGAGGCCAAGGAAGGCAGGTCTGTCTCCACCACACAAACCCTTCCTAAGAGGACTCTGAGCCAAGGACAGGGACCTTCATCCTGGGGCTGGGACTCGGGGAGCAACTCCACCCCAGCTGACGACCATAACCACACCCATCACGGCTAACATTTGGGGAGCACTTCTGTGTGTTGCTCCCAGTGCTTCACCGGCACTGACCCATAACTTTCACAGCACTGGGAGCTGAGTGCTTTTACCACCAACTCCTCGTGATCAAGTAACTTGCATAAGGCAGCAAGCTCGCAGGTGGCAGCTTGGGAGCAGAAGGCAGCCAGTCAGGCTCTCCCTATGCCTGCGAGGAAACCTGGCATCCCTGTTCCTGGCTGCGGGGGCCCCGCTGCTCTGCAGGCTGTTTTCGTTCTCTGCCTGGCTGCTCGTGCGCGGTGGGACCGAGGAGCGGCTCAGAGCGCACTGGGAGAATGAAGTGAGTGCACGGCCAGAAACCACTTCAAACCCACCCGTTATCAGGGAAGCACACAGTAATGCTGGCCCAAGCAAAGCTGTCACATGTAAGCGGGGCCCTGGGGAGAAAAGGCCCTACAGGACTGGGGTAGAGGCAGAGTGGTACCCCTGGGGGCACAGGGTACTGCACGCAGGACAGGGCTGGCTGAGCTTTTGGTCCTGGGGGTCTCCCTGTTGGGCTGACCTGGAAGAGGACTGAGCGGGCTGGGGCCGAAGCCCAGAGTCCAGGCTCCAATCCTGCTTCTCAGGCCCCGGGGTGAGAAGGCCTGGTGTCCCAGGGGGCCTACGCTTCTTGGGCCCATTTTCCCAGGCAAGTGACAGCAGGATAGGGGATGGGAATGGCCACTACCAAGGGAAGATGGACAGCAGAACGAGTATGTCATCCTCAACACGCAGGGAGTCATAGCAGAGAGCCCCTCGCCTGCTGCAGAGCAAGGACCCCTAATCTCGTTTCTCCCGAGAGCAGAGCTGCCAGCAGCACCCAGCCTGCTGCCCTCACGCTTTGTGCTCCTCTCGCCACCTTCTCCAGGCTGAGAAGGTCCACCTGGGGAAGCCCACCAAGAGTGACCCGGGGTAAGGAAATCCTTGACTGTGCATGGGGCACCCATGTGCCCTGGCAGGGCAAAGCCAGTCCCAGGCACATAAGGAGCCCTGGAGTCGGAGCTGCTCAGACCAAGGGGCATTTTGTCCCTGCATGGGCAGAGAACATCGCTATTTGGGCACTTTGGAAGCCAGCATGAGTGACAGCTACCGTCGAGTCCTCTTCCACTTGGTGGGGAAACGGGGAGGCAAAGGCTGCTCCACTGGGCACGGCGCTGCGGACGGCTGCATCTTTGGAGCAGTTCGTTAAGTGTTTGCCTTAAGAAGCCCAAAGCGATGGGGTCTCCACCTTGCTGAGGTGCTGAACTTCCGAGTTCTGGAAGGGGCACCTGCTTCCCTCAGCCACTCTTTAAGCCCGCCTCCTCGGGTGTGGTGGGGGGAGAAAGGACTGCCAGGAAGGCCACAGCTGGAATTTAAAACTAGTTTATTAAAATAAGCACATTTTAGAATAGCACAGAGATATACTATAAATGTCCGGCATGTGCAAAATTGCTTTTTCTTGGATCTGTGGTCGCTCGGCACCATGGATCTGCTCGGATGTGTTGCAGCACAGCCTGGGGCCACCTCTGATCAGACTGCGTGGCCAGTGCTGCCCTCTACACAGGCAGCAGGGGCATAGCACACACGCCAAGTGGCCCATGATACTAACTGCTTAAAATAACAAGCACCTCATTAAAATGTGTGATAATGGAAGCACTTCATTAGGGCCCGAATACCCGAGGGGCTGGGATGCAGCTCAGTGGCATGGTAGAGCATGTGCATCAAGCGAGTGATGCTCTGGGTCCACCAGATAAAATTCAATTAACTAGTTAAAACCCCTGTACACAAACATTTGAGAAAGGAGAGTGAGTTGTTTCACGCTTGGAAAAGTCTGTGGGCTCACAGTGGGAGTTTAAAGCCCCATCTTGGCTGGAAGAGTCTGGTCAAAAAATAAAACATTTTTAAAAAAGGAATAATACTGATTGTAGCAGCAATCCCAAACAACGGAGAGGATGATAAATGAGGGACACATTTCGGTCATGGCAAAGAAAGATTATGTGCGTCTCTGTGCTGTAGCCTGGAAGACTGAGCTGGCGTCAGGAATGCAGCGGGCGCCCTGCTTGTCCCTGAATTGAAGGGCTGACTTGGCTCAGCCAACGGGGAGGACATCCGGAGGACAGAGGAAGGTGGAAGAACTGCTAGAGGCGGGTGACAGTGCGGAGAGGAGAAGCGGCCTCTGTCAGCGGATGCTTCTTGAGCTTGGTTCCCCGAAGGCTGCAGCCCCAGCTGCCACGCGGCTGCGGTGAGCTCGGGCAGGATCCCAGATTCGCAGGCAGGCGGGTGAGCAGGTGGGCAGCAGCCCAGCAAAGAGATGTCCCTGCCGTAGGCGATTATGCAAAGTGACAAGTGATTGCTTTCCTTTATAAAGACAACCCCTTTGGAAAATGCTTTTTCCTTGAGGACTCCTGGGAAATGGGGGTTTGGGTGGGAACTGCAGGGCCTTTGTGGCAGAAAAGTCCTGTGTGCAGGTCCTTTTCCCTGCTTGGCACACGTAGGCCACTTGGCTTTCCGGAGGGATCACTCCTGACAAGCTCAGGGCCGGAAGCATGATGGAAGGGGGTCAGAATGCTGTGGGTGCCGGGCACGGGGCTGTGTCTCCACTGCGGCCTGCCTGGGCGAGGGCCCTCCGCCGGGCCAGGCGAGACTTGGCTGGTGGGGAGAGCTTCACAGAGCACAGACCCTCAGCCAGTGCCGCTGACTCCTCGGCCAGTTCACTCTCCTCGTGCTGAGACAGCTGGCGGTTCAGGGCAATGGCCTCGGCTGCGAAGAGTGTGAGGTCCATGGTGCTGCTATTTCTGCAGGGGCAGAGAAAGGCACAGGAAAGAGGGGTTGGTGGGCTCAGTCAGACTAGGGGCTGCAGGGGCATTCCCTCCAGTCTGTCTTAGCCAGTTCTTGCCTGGGAGTAGTTGGACTCAGAGCAGGGTAGGACAGCTCTGGGTCTCAAGCAGGATCCCTGGACTCCTGGGTCAGGGTGAGTGCCCTGCTATTCCGAGCACTGCTCTGCGCTTCTGTGGTCTTGCATACAGATCCACAGGAGATGGCCTGGGACACTCACCACATCCCTCTTCCCCTCCCAGAGCATGATTGTGTTCTTTAGAAGCTGTGTCTCCAGAAGCTGGCTCATAACCAGCATGGAAAGGACACTCTGGATTTCCTGGAGACACTGGAGGTGGATCTGAGGCATGTGGATGCCACTCTAGAGAATCAGGTAGGAATTCAGGCAGGGCATGAGCATTTCAGCTCTAATGAACTGGGATTTGAAAGCTCTAGGATGTCCCTCTACCCAAAAATCTTCGTCAAACCCCATGCAGGTTCCCTCTGCTTTAGCCCTGCCCTTTGGGCTTAGGGCCATGTACCCAGGCATGTGCTCTAGTGTGCAAAGTCAGAGTCTAGGTCAAAGTCCAGTTCCCAAGTTGACTATGTAACTTCAAGTCTTGTTCTCTCATCCAAAAAGTAATGGTAACATCTTCCTATTGGATAGATGTGGCCACATTGTCTGCGAAGCCTCAGCACTGGTATCTTGCTCGTAGAAGTCTTGATTATATAATGGCCTTTACTAAGAGCGATGCCAGTAATGTATCTGAGATGAGTCCACTACCTTACTGTGTCCCCCGTTCCCACCCCTGTTACCGGCCCACTGCAGTAGAAGGAAGTCCCAGGAATGCCCACCGATAAGGCTGCAGATCGGGAACAGTGATCAGTTAGGGTTCAAGTGGATATGAAAAGTAGATTTCCCCTGCAAATAGCACATAGAGGGGTTTCTATGGTGCTGAAGGGCATCATCCAGGTGCAAGGAAAGGAAACAGGGAAGCTAAATTTGCTGTCAAGGAACCAGAAAGTGCAGAAGAGCAGCTGGGAAGAAGGCAGGGCTTCTTTGGGATGAGGAGGCCAGAGTACAGTGGGGCTTCCTGTCCACCACAGGAAAGAGCCAGAAGGAAAATCAAAGTGGAAGAAAGAAGGGTGCTAGAGTGGGGGCATTTACCTCTGGAGGACTTGCGGCGTGGGGAGTCCCTTTTCTGGAGCTTGCTAGAAGGGGAAGGACAGATGTGTGGGTCAGTGTGGCTCCCGTTCCCAGGGTTACCCCCACCCAGCCAGCACAGAGTGGGTTAACAGCTGCAGGCCTTGGTCCAGCACAGGAACACGGTCATGCCTGCCTGTGGGTTAGCCGGGCCAGCAGTAAGCCAGGGCCAGTCCCTCCCCAGCTGCCTCTGTGCAGAAGGCCCTCTCTTTGCCTGGCTAAGTCTTAGTCCTCCTCCAAGACCCAGCTCCAAGGTGACTCCTGCTACCTTCCTTCCCTGTCCCAAGCAGAGGTGGATCCTGGCCCTGTGGCACCAACACACTCCTGAGAGCATCTGTTGCTGGCCTGTCCTTTCTCCACTTGTCTCCCTCTCCTCACTAGATCAGGAAGACAGGAACTAGATTTTGTCCATCCTGGTATTTCCAGGCTCTAGCATGTACTCAGAAAAGATAACTCTCAGGCTGCTGGGAATTAGTCACACAGACTCTTGGCTGGGTCTCTACGCAGCTCGGGGCTGGCAGTACAGGCTCCCTTCCCCTGGCAGGGTGGCTGATGCTGCTCCAGGCCTAGCCCACCAAGGACACAAGAAACTCAAAGGAAGTCTGCCAGACCCTTAGAGGGGCAGGGGTCAGGTTCACGACTAAGGAAGGATGAAGGATGTAGGTTCGTGAAGTTTTCTGGTGATGACTGGGATCCTTACTGTGGGGGTAACAGCATAGCTTTCAGGCAACCAGCACCCAGATCCCAGGCCCATGAGAACCTCTGTGCACCCAGTAAGGTCTCATAGCAAGAAGGGCAGCACGGTTCCGCTTGTGGCATTTCTGTCTCAGGGTGGCCCTATAGGTCCCAAATACTGATACCCAGATGGCAGTGTGCCTCTGCCAAGAGAGGGCTGCTCGTGCTGATGCCCAGTGACCTCTGTCCCATAGAGCTTGGGTCAGAGCCCAGCAAGTTTAGTGTCAAAAGCCCAGGGTCTGGCCATTAGGGGCTCAGCCTGGGACTAGCTTAGGAGTCAGCTCCCTCTGCAGGGAATGACGCTGCTGGGGGTCTCCAAGAGGGCAACAGAGGGAGTCCCTGAAGCTAAATGAGGACTTGCTAGGAAGAGGGCTGGCTCATGCCTGGGCAGGAATGTCTCTCTCCCTCAGTCACTCACCCCCTGCACCCATGGGTGCTGTAGAACCTGGGAGGCACTCAGTCTCTGCTTTGCATCTCGAACCAGAAGTCTGGAGATGAGGTCTTTGGCTTCTTGGGAGATGTGTGCCCAGTCCTTGTCAGGAAACTCGTACTTGCCTTCCTGGATGCTTTCAAACAGCTTGTTCTAGGTAGAGAAGATTCCTTTTGAGGGTAAACTTCTGAGAACCTCAGCTAAAGCTTCAGTTGATGAACAGGGCCCCTTCCCAGGAACGCTCTTCTTAGACCATGTACCACACAACAGGATCTGGCTGTGCCAGGATATGTGTGCTCCTCAGAGGCTAAGTGGGTGACAGTGGGGAATACAGCTATAGAAAAAAGCCCAGATTGCGTGGCCTACATGCGGGGCCCCCTCTCAAGGCCCTCTACCACCAGCTTAACTCAGACCCCCACTCTCCAGCCTGCACACAGGCACGGCTTTGTCTCTGCTGGTGCTGCTCCTTCACGTGTCTTTCTTGCCCTCCCTCCCACTTTAAAGTCAGTTCAGGTGTGATCTTCTCTAACCTGACTCCCCTGATTCCTGGGGCTGAATGGTCCATGTGCTCCACTTCTCAGGGCAGAGGGAAGGGCCCCGAGGCTCCCACTTCCTTCAGATCAGAAGCCAACCTCCCTCCTTTCCCCCCTCCTTGGCCCAGGTCATGCACCCCCAATGCCCTTCAGTGGGCCCTGGGGCTGTGCTCACCTGGCACACCCTGCAGACTTCGCCCCTGTCCCAGCCACAGTCAGCCCCGCAGTGACCTACGAAGGGAGGGTAGCCACTCAGCATGATGTAGAGGACCACGCCCAAACTCCACAGGTCACAGCGCTTGTCATAGAAAGTGGCCTCATCCCTGAAGACCTCCACCACCTCCGGTGCCATGTATTCTGCAGAACCGCACTGTGGGGGCCAAATGGGGAGGAGAGAGAGGCTGGGTTTCAGGGTTGATCATGACAAGGAGCAGAATGGAATGGGGCCTGGGCACGTGGATGGAGTCACAGGATTACCAGGAACGCTAGCAAGTGAGTTTCCCTCTGTCACCAAGAGGCTCAGCAGAAAAGCAGGGTTAGCTGGCCGTGCTAACACTGAGACCTTTCATGGCTCACTGAGCCACATGACTGGGTCCAGTATGCATAAACCCTTTGGTCAAGAAGCTCCAGAAATCTCTCCCTGCCTTACTGTATAGGCACTGAGAATACAGTTCTCGGAGGGAGATCTGTGGAGACTCAATTCTATAAAGTCTAGCCACAGAAAGAGTGATTAGACTTCACTTAGTGGTAAAACTTCACTTAGAGTGAAGTCCTGCCAGACCTCTCTGAAGCATAAGAACTCAGAACTGAGAGACCATCATGGGTAGGAGAGTTCTCAGAACAGATGCAATCACCCTACTCCCAGTTATAGATGAGGCAATCAAGGGCTAGGAAGGAACAGGGATTTGCTCAAGCATTTAAGTGGCAGATCAGGATCAGAACCAGGGGTCCCTCAGACTCCCCTGCTTTCACAGAAAACTACTGAGAAGAAAAAACCAATTCTTTTCTTTCCCTCTTCATTAAGCTAGACTCACCCAGAGACAACCACTGCTCCCTCCCCAATCCCCCTCAATGCATATAACTAATTTGATGGGAAGAAGATAAGAGGAAAAGGGCATTTTCTTTGTTATTAGCAATTACAGTTAATGACTTCAAGAACAAGGTAGCTCAGTGTAGTAGAAACTAATAGAGAAATGTTCCTAGTAATAATGCTCAGAATAAGATGCAATATGGGCATTTTATAATGCATGTCTTAAGAAGAGGTTATTAAAAAATCACTTATGAGGCATGAAAATCTCAACAGAATTATAATTACAGGACATTTAATGTGTACACGGGATGATTTAGGATGAAGAGCTCCCAGCAGCACCATCTGGGCATGGAATGTCAAGGAGAAAGAAGAATAATCAACTGAAAGCTGCAGAGAAGTAGGAAGCCTCAGTTCTCACCAGAGACAAATGTTCTTTAATACAGTGGGCATGGAGCCCTCAGAGCTATCTGTATCTCCGACGTGAAAAAAAATGGCTTGGGAACAGGGTATGTTTTAAGCAGGGTCAGGAGTCAGGGCTTAATCTGTTCTTTTCGTTTGCTTTGGGCCACACTCAGAAATGTTCAAGGGTTACTTCTGACTCTGCAATCAGGAATTATTCCTGGCAGTTCTTGGGAGACCATATGGGCTGCTAGGGATTGAACCTGGGTAGGCCGGTGCAAGGCAAATGCTGGTACTCTCTCCAACACTAAGGCTTCGAACCTGTTTTTTATAGGTACAATTTGTATTGTCATAGGTGAAAAACCTGTACCCCTCAAAGCTCTAACTCAGTTTCATTAGCATCTAAGCGCTTGAGGAAAGAGGTTTATCAATGCACGAGTCAAATAACCCAGGCAGCAAGAAGCAGTGTTAGTACACTCTGGTCAAGCCCTGGGAGCTCTGGGTCAGGATCACTCTAAACTACAGGAATCCCGGAGGAGGCAGCCCAGGGGGCGCCCAGCCGTACATACAGGTGTAGTCAGCTCTGGTGTGGTTATGGGGGTGCAGGAATTGTTCAGTTTCATGCCACTGCCCAGGTCAAAGTCACAGATTTTCACTGGAGATACCTGAAAAGGAGAGTAAGAGGTGAATACACATATTTTTGCTTATATATGTTTTCTCATAGATATGTTTCTTATATATACATATAGATATATATATAAGAAACCAGAGGGCATGAGGTTATCAGTGTGATGCTAGGGATGCACAACTGTGTAGCTGCCACACCAAAGCCCAGCGTTTTGTTTTTAGTTTTTGCATCATACCTGCTGTTGCTCAGAAAAATATGCAGTGCTAGAAATAAAGTTTTATAGAAACTTAGTTCTATAAACTGTTTATAATAATTTAAAAAACGAATATGGGCTAGAGCGATAGCACAGCGGGTAGGGCGTTCGCCTTACAAGCGGCCAACATGGCCGACCCGAGTTCGATTCCTCCGCCCCTCTCGGAGAGCCCGGCAAGCTACCGAGAGTATTCGATATGCCAGACACAGTAACAACAAAGTCTCCAATGGAGACGTTACTGGGCCCGCTCGAGCAAATCGACGATCAATGGGAGGGCCTTTACCTCGAGCAAAAAACGAATATAAAATAAAACTAGTTATTTAACAGTACATGCAGGGCAAATGTTCTTCCACTGAGTCCTATCCTGGTCAAAACCCTGAAGTCCAGTTTTATCTGTCAGGTCATTTCTACTCTCCATGGAGTGATTAGAAATGACCTGAGGGTTTATCTTCGTCCTCACTCTCACTTTCTGAAAGATGAAGCCCTTTTGGTGTTTTGATTAAAAACCTGACTACCACCTAGGTCTCAGGTGCCTAACATGTCCTGTTTTGCTTGCTTGGACTTGGTGTCAAAATTCAAAGTCCTGGTCAGGAAACCCCTTAGTCTCAGGAAGCCTGGAATGGTTGGTCACTTTGTATAGCAGTGACCCAGCAGCTCAGCCCAGTAGGACTGGTTGATGCAATGACCACAGATGTATGAGCCATCTCTAGAGCCAAGCAGGAGGGTGGTTTGTGGGTACACAGGAGAGGTGGAAGCAGCACAGAAGGGAGTGAGTAAGAAACATCCTTCTGTGTATCTCACTCAGCCCAGTTATTTCTCTGTGGGGAAGCAGGGAAGTTTCCTGGTGGGGCCAGGAAACTATGTGACATAGGGGTCTAACTGTAAGGCAAGTCCCTTAACCTGTATTCTACCTCTCCAATCCCCAAGATACCTGAATTTAATTTCTTAATTTTATTTTTTGTTTTTGGGCCACACCCAGTGGTACTCGGGGTTTACTCCTGGCCTGGCACTCAGGGATCACTTCTGGAGGACTTGGGGGACTATATGGGGTGCCTGGGATGGAACCTGGGACAGTCACATGTAGGCAAGTACACTACCTGTTGTACTATTGCTCTGATCCCCAATACCTTAATTTTAATCTATTCTTTACTATTTACTGTTGAGTGATTTAGATTCCTCATCCATAAATGGAAAATAATAATAATGTTATCTGTCTTGTAAGACTTTTTAAGTTCTAAATAAGTATCCAACACATTTTAAGCACTCAAGAAATGTTAGCTATAGTAGCTATTTATAGTCATAATGATAATAATTGTAACTCATGGAAGTTGTATGTTAGATTCATTGACAGGAAGTCAAGGTCTTATTTGAGCTAAAGAGAGAGTGGAAAGTAGAAGGTGACTCCTTCACTCATACACATTCCTTATTTATGAACTATAATTTCTTTGTATTTTTAAAAGTCTTTTTTTTGAGGGTGGAGAGGGGTCAAACCCTGTGGTATCCAGAGCTGACTCCTGGCTTTGCACTCAGGAGAGCTTGGAGGACCACATATGGGGTGCTAGGGATCAAATCTGGCTCAGCCACATCCAAGGCAAACACCCTACCACTGTACTATTGCTCTGGTCCCAGTGAGCTATCATTTAATCCAGACCAACATATGTGTTTTTGCTCACATACATATATACAAAACAGAGCGATGAATGTGGGCCATCAAAATCACCAGGCCCAACAAACACCTAATCATGGGGCTAGGGAGATGACTCAAAGGGCTGGAATGCATACTTTACATGGTGAAGCACTGAGTTCAGTCCCAAGCACTGCATGGTTCCCTGAGCACTACCCAGAGTATCCACCAAGCAACACTGGATATGAGCCCTGATAAAAAATGAACTGTAAATGCATTTTGAAGACCGGGGGTGTGGCTCAGTGATAGAGTACATGCATCACATATGGAGGACCTGCGTCCCAACCCTAGCATGAAGGAAGAAGGAAGAAAAAGGAAGAAAAATGAGGACACTTTCATGAATTAGTAAACTAAAATTTAGAATCATTTGCATTTGCTCTATACCAAGTATAAATGTCATCTTTTTTATAAAATAAAGTATTTTTTGGAGGGAGAGGCCATGTCAAGATGTATGGAGGGGCTACTCTCAGCTCAGTGCCTGGGTAACCAGGTGGTCCCAGGGATTAACCTGAACCTCCTGCATGCAAAGCATACACTCAGACTGCTGAGCAATCAGACCTCAAATGGCTTTTTTTTGGGGGGGGTCACACCCAGCAATGCACAGGGGTTATTCCTGGCTCTGCGCTCAGGAATTACCCCTGGCGGTGCTCAGGGGACCATATGGGATGCTAGGAATCGAACCCGGGTTGGCCGCGTGCAAGGCAAACACCCTACCCGCTGTGCTATTGCTCCAGCCCCAAATGGCTTCTTTTTAATAAACACTTTAATTTTTAATAAAATGGAATCTTTTCAAGAACCTACTTCCTAATTATTTCTAGTGTGATATCATCTGGCATATATACCAGAACAAAAACATCATTTATACGCAATGGTTTGCTTCACATAAGATTCAGTTGTTGCTTATGATTCACAGAAACTACAAAACATTCTTTTTGTGCAGGTCTCATACTCAGCCGATCACACTGCTGCTAAAGAGCAAAGAAGAGACAAGGGTTGACCTTAGTTGAAATGTATCAACACTACACATTGAGAATAACATCTTCACATATACACAGTCTGTTTAACTAGGTAGCTGAGGCCAAGAGTACTGCTACTGATCTACACTGACAGCAAGGATGGCTTCCTTCCCTGCCTCAGTGTAAACTGACATCTCCATCCGGTGCTTAGTACCTTTTCTGGAGATTCACATAGTATATTTTCTGGCTTCAGATCACGATGAGCAATGCCTGAAATGACAAAGAATCAAGAAATGGTTAACACATGCACATGATTATCAAACATTCCACACACAATTAATTTTTTCCAAATGCTATTGTTCGCAGACTAATTCCCAATTATGGTACATTAAAAAATCAACGAGCTGCAGGAGGCTGAAGTAACCAGAGACAAACAAAAAGCACAGTTGATTCTGCAAGTTCTTGAGAAGCAGAAGCTTGGCAAGTCTGGCAGGGATAAGAGAGGCTAAATGAATCCCAGGCAGTCTACTTTCAGCACTGTGATGACAACAAGAATGAGAAAACCTAATACGATGACGCAGAGCAAAGAGCTCTGCAAATGGCAATTCTTGGAATGGCAATGCAGAAATAATTAGTGCCTCATTTATGAACATCTCCGGGGGCTGAGGCTGCTCTACTTCATTTCTTCTTGTGTGGCCAATTTTTTAGAAAAAGAAAGATTTCCAGGGCTGGAGACGTGGCCCCAGCAGTAGAGCATATGCCTAGCATGTGCGAAGCCCTGAGTTAGATCCCTAGTTCTGGTGGCTCTTGAGCACCACTGGAATTAGACCCCATACAATTTTTCTTTTTTCAGGGGCACTGAGCTTGAACTCAGGTCCTCACACTTGTGAGGTGTGTGCTCTATCAATGAGCCATATCCTCAGCCCAACGTAAATTTTTTTCCAAACTAAAAAAGAATTATTGGGGCCAGAGAGACAGTACAGCAGGTAGGGTGGTTGCCTTGCAGATAGCTGACCCAGGTTCAATCCCTGCATCGCATATGGTCTCCTGAGCACTGCCAGGAGTGATCTGAGTGCAGATGCGAGACTAACCCCTGAGAATCACACTGGATATGTGTCCCCACCCCCCCCAATAAATAAATAAATAAGAATTTCTTCAGTGGCACTCCCTGAAATATCCAGAAAATCGAATGTTATTTAAAGCTTGTTTTATTCCCATTCCACCTTATCTGTATGTCCAAGGCAGTCCTGTGAGAACCTAAGCAGGGAGTGCTTTGGCCTAAAGGTTCTACTCTGGTCATAACTCCTGAAGGAAACTGAAACTGCAGCTTACCTATGAAAGGTGTTAAAAGCTGCTGACCTGGCCAAGAAAGTAGCTGGGAGGGAAGTGATCTTTTAACCCAAGATATGGTCAAAGAACCAAGCAATAGGAACGTGGTGATCTAGAGAAAAGAGAAACATCTTATCCCTCTTCTACCCTGTATAAGGTCCTGTGGAGTGACAGGAAGGCTGAAGACCAAGCAAAAACTCAAAGCTACTGCTTGAAAATTCTGGGAAGCAGCAGAAGATTCTTGGGGTAGCTGGAAGAGCAGAATCTGCCTTACAAAAACTTCATTGATGGTTAACTTCTCCGGCAGCCCTCTGATTTCTTAGCAGGAGGGAGAGGCCCAGTCCACCTGAGGCACTTCACCGGAGAGGAAAAACCTGAGCTCCAGCAGCTAAGTAACTTCATCAGTCACCTAATTGAATGAGAACCCAGAGCAACTCAGTCCCTGCTGCACAAATTGAGTCAGGCTACAGCTCTCTGCACTAAAAGTGAAAGATATTTTCCATTATAGCAAGTGCTCCCACAGAAGGATCACGAGCCACACATGAAGCCTTACTCTCCAAATAGGTGGCAATGGCCCAGTTGTCCCCCAGCCTGGGAACTGAGAGCCACGCTGTAATAATGAGCCTGCCTTGTGAGCACACCAGCCATCGAGCTGCTCTGGTTCATTTCCCAGAGGTTAAGCTGCAGTGTGTCCAGTATTTAAAAGTATGGAACTTGTTTCAGGGCTGACCCATTCTTGCCCAATTCATCTTCCCAGAGTGAAGTTATTTAGAAAACAGGCAAGTTCAGCTGGAAATCGTTTTTCATCCCTCCAACTTCTAGTCACATGGGCAGCTGGCCAGCTAGATGTTAACAAGAGCTTCCGAACTCCTAAGACACCAACAGCCACTGTTCCCTTTAGAGCATGCTTGTAAAAAATAAATAAATAAAAAATAAAACCGCCTTTACCCCCCTCCGAGGTATGGATCTTGTAAAAAGCATGACCCAGTTTTGCAATCTACAGAGGCAGCTTGGGGAGCAGTTGTAAATCTTTGTCAGGCAGGTGTTACCTACATGCATCCCAGCCTTCAGAAACAGAACCACTGCTATTCATCATGCTGGCACCCCCTTCTAGGAATTTGCATCCCGTGTGCAAGTCTGGCCCCCAACTGGACACTGTCAGTACTGAGATCTCTTGACAGCCACTGGAGGAAACAAGGTGGAGTCAATGAACCCAAGCCTCTGGAACACGTGCCACAGCAGCTTGCACTACGTGGCTGGCACCAGGTGCCATGGGGGAACAGCATGTTTCAAAGTAGTCCTGAGCATTCACAAGACCCCGGTGGCTGGCCATTATCCACAACAGTGAGTGGAGCAGAGCTGAGTCACAAAGTATTTGTTCCACCCTATGCCCCATCATGGAGAATGTTTTCCTTTAAGAAAACTATCTGTATTAGAAATGAAAACTTTTGCTGCTTGGTGGGAGCTGGGGTGGGGTAAATACGCTATGGCAAATACCACGTGCCGTCCAGCATGCTACACAATATAAACAATAATGCAAACAGTGACGATCACTGAGTTAATACACAGAATACTGCTCAGTACATCATCAGGGCGTACAAGGTTCTAACTCCCGTTGATGATGTTATCATTATCTCTCAGTATTCTCCATAACTCCATGGAGTCAGCATTATTACCAAGAAAGTGCATAGTTGGTAAAAAGAGGAAGCCAAGATTTTTTTCCATGACCTAGTGTTTAGCAAAAAAAATTTTTGTTTTGTTTTAGGGTACTACTGGCTGTGCTCAGGGATTACTCCTGGTGGGGCACATGGGACCATATGTGGTGATGGGAATTGAAACCAAGTTGGCTGAATGCAAGGCAAGCACTTAACCCACTGTACTATCTTTCCAGCCTTGTTCAACAAAAATGTTTAATACATAATTGTCATTTATGAAAATGCAAAAAATTTTGAAAAATTATTTAAATAATCTGCCCTGGATGAAAGATTGTAAACTAAAATGTAATTCAAATAGCAGTATCATGATCTTCAATAGACACCTTCATGTTAAGGGAAAATGCATTTTTTATTAATTGTGAACAGATATAAATCAATATAATACATTATGTGACTTAGATACAGTGATCTATTTTGAGGGACTAGAAGGAATCTAATACCCAGATATCTTTACTGGAATGGGGGCATATGCCTAAGTCTGCATTCTTTATTGAAAAGGAAAAGGTCACTACATACACATACTAACACATACCATATTTAGCATGAAACATGGAATACATTCCTTTTCCTCCCTGCTTGTTTTCCTCTATCCCTATCTTGTTTACTAGCTCTATATCTACTCACTACCTACACCAGAAATCTAGGAGCCTAATCCTTTCCCTCTTGGGTGACCTGCCCCCCTCGCAGGGTCCCTTGAGGAGAAACAGTCCAGTCCACCCACTGAGACAAAGGCATGACTCACCTTTGGTGTGGAGAAAGTCAAGGGCATTGGCAACATCCCTCACTACTCGGCTGGCTTCACGCTCATTGAAGTGTTTCCGCTTCTGGATGTGGGCTAGGATGGAACCTGGAAAGCAGAGAGACACAGGAGTGCTATTCCCAGTAAGTATGACTTCTCAGTGGTCATGTTCTCACAGTTTGAGTGGACACATAGCTTGTTCATCACAAACTGTCCAGCATTAGGTATAAACATTAACCTGGCAAGGGGAGGTATCAGTAACAAAACTATACTGACTCAAACTGGATTGTGCCCATTAATGATGAGCACAGAAGGATAAACAACCATATAAATGGTCAAAATGTTAATGCCAGTAGGGCATATTTGGCATCTTAAGTAAAGAACAACTAAAGGTGATCTATATGGGGGCCGTGGCTCTCTGCGGAAACTTTCTCCTCTGCATCTAATCTCAGATTCAAACACAGTGCAAGCTTTGAATGAAAATGCACAACCTCATCCAAGAGGGAGAAAGATCTTTCTTTCTTTTCCCTCTGAACTGCCCCATATTTCTTTGTTTGGGGAAGGAGTGATACTCAGGGGCTATACCCAGTGATACTCAGGGGTTACTCCTGATGTTGGTCAGGGGGACCATAAAGGATGTCAGGGATTGAACCTGTGCTAGCCTCATGCAAGGCAAGCACCCTACCTGATATATTATTTCTCTAGTCCTGAACTATCCCGTTAAAACATATCAAGGGCCTCTGTGATATAGTACAGTGGATTGGGCGTTTGCCTTGTATGCGGCGGCCAACCAGGGTTTGATTCCAAGCACCCTATATGGTTCCCTGGGCACTTCCAGGTGTGATTCCTAAGTATGGAACAAGGAGCATCACTGAGCATCACTGGGTGTGACCCAAAAAAGCCCGCCCCTGACACACACACACACACACACACACACACACACACACACACAATCAATACTATTACCTTGTTAGAAACATCTAACACTTATGGAGCAGTTATTACTATGTGGCCAATGTTATCTTACTCCTAACACAATTTACATAATGCAAAAAATACAGTTATTTCTCTCTTAAAGAGAGGGACCCTATAGACAAGGAATGGCATCATAAGTAGTTCAAGATTACTTATTAGGGTATCAGGACTAAGTCCAGTGTCTGGCCTCAGAATTGTACCCTCACTGGACTTGTGATTACTAGGGTTTGATTAGCCTGAGATTGATTCACTGGCCCTGGGTTTAACAGAACTGTCCTCTGGGAGATGCAGTTAAAGAGGATCCCAGATACACAAAGCATTTCAGACATGAGTCACAGTCCCAGTGTTGGTAGAGACTGATATGAACACACAGCGTAATCTCATGTAGTTTGTGTCCCTATTGTAAGATAGGGATTCTGGGTTGAAAGTATCACTGCTATCCTAAAAATGGGATGTTTACTTATCACTTCTGTTTCTGGCACAGGAAGTGGATAAAAGACCTTTTCACTTGCCAGTTAAACAAAGGATCCCAACATACTAGGAAAAATTCTGTGGAAAAACTGACTCCTGGTTAAGGTTTCAAGATTACTCAGTTTCTTGTTTCCAAAATTATTAAAAGGGGCAATATTAAAACATAGTGGAGAGGCTGGCGAGATAGTAGAGTGGTTAAGGCACTTGTCTTGCACTTAACCAATCCTGTCCTGATTCAATCCCAGGCACCACATATGTTTCCTTAAGCACAGCCAGGAGTGATCCCTGAGCACAAAGCCAGGAGTAAGTTCTTGGCATAGCTGGGTGTGGCTCCAAAATAAAAAAGTTGGAGGGGCAGACAGGTAGACAGTAACATTAAGTATGCTTCCAAGATAGCCACTAGCATATCTGATTGTTTAAACCAGTGCTTCTCATCTGGGGCCATAGGGCCTCCTGTAACCCTCAAGAGGCCACAGGTGAAAAATCACATAAATGTGGGGATACGAGACTACAGGGTCAAATGGTAGGACATGGAGCCACATGAAGAAAAAAAGATTGGACAGGTGCAAAGGTTGGAAAAAGGCTGAGAAATACTGATTTAAATAATACCAAGAGTTGACAGCACTGAACTCTCAGTGCCTCCTGGGATGTGTGAACTTCATAAGAATGATCTATTTAGGGGATGGAGTGATAGTACAGTGGGTAGGGAGCTTGTGTCGCACATAGCTGACCAGGGTTTGATAGCTGGCACACATATGGTCCCTGAAGTCCTGCCAGAAGTGATCCCTGAACACAGCCAGGAGTAGGAATGAAGCACCACTGGATATGAGCCCCCAAACAAAACAAAAACAACTACAAAAAATAGTGACCCGAAGAAGTTGATCATGTCATTATTCCTATTTTACAGATGACAATACTGTTTATAGAGGCTACATAACTGAGGCATGAGAGATAGAACAGTGGGGAGGACAACTGCCTTGTAAACAGCTTGGGGGTTCTATCCCCCACTCGCCCACCACACCTCATATGCACCCCACCAGGCGTGATCCCTGAGTGCTGAGCCAGAATTAAGCCCAGAGCACCACTGGATGTGGCCCAAAATAAAAACAAAACACAAAAGAAAAAATGGTTTTCATGATTTACTCAAGGTCATTCAGCTGGGATTAGACTTAGAGTTAGCTTTGCTGGTTCCTAAAGCACACTCCCTTAACCGCCAAGCTCCTGTGTGGTCCATCCCTCAGTTCCAGGCACCTCACTCCTTTCACCTTACAAATATGACCAAGGCCGAGTGAGTGATGGGAAGGGAAAGGTCTACTCACTCCCTTTCTTTATGCCAGAAAAACAACATCAATATCCATCTCAGTGATTATGTGAGTGGGTGATGGCAGAAATGGTGATGGTCAAGCTGGCCCTTTCTCAGGCCTTCTCTCTATCCTGGTTCTGCGCCCTAAACAATGGAACACTCCTCGCCTCTGATGAGACTTTACAAGGTCCGTAAGAGCTTCCATTCCAAAGCTAATTTAGTTAAAAAGTGAACACATGTCAAAACAATGGATTGATAAATTGGTATCAAAATGTATCTATACATGAGTCTCATTAAAATGAGAAGGTATTTAGAGAATGCCCACACAGGTTACATTCTAAGCTTTGCAAAATGCTAATTATCATCCTTCCCTCCGGCTGGCCTTCCTTCTCTCGAATCAAGGGCAGTTTTAAGTCCTTCATCCTTTTTATTAGCTTGACTCGTTTTAGAAGTCTCTGGGATTCATGATGGATGATCACCACCCCCGGTCTTAATCAGAAGTCCAAACACATACTCAACAGTAAGTACCTCCTTGCAGTTTCTCAAAGACTAAGTAAAAGCGTGTGTCATCTTCAAAGAACTCAATCAGCTCCAAAATGTTCCTTAAATTAGAAATATAAGAGGAAAAGCAAGGGGGAGAGAGAAATGTATTATATGTTAAAAACTCACTTACAAATATGAAACAACAAAAATACAATGTTCTGTACCAGGGCAGAAATCAACTTGAAATCAGAATGCTTATTAAAGACCCATGTTTGAGAAGTAGCCAATGGTGTTAGCAAGATTCAGGTCACCTTATCTTTCCATAATGTTTGGTCTCTGGTGTTTTCACCAACTCGGTGCTGTCAAACCCCAACCCTAAAACCCACTAGGTAGAGTTATAAAAAAGTCCCGGTCACATTAAACTGAATAAAATCTGCAGCCGACTGGAAGCAATTGCGCCTAATAACACTGAATAGTAGGTGTGTGTCCTGGAGGCAAGCAGCAAATAATTACTTGCCCTCCCTCTTGCCCATAAATCACGGGGCAGTATTTACATTGCCTGGAGAAAATGGAAACATCTGTCAAATAGACTTGGGGCTAACGTGGGCACCGCTAGACCCTAACTGCTAAGCGCTGCTTAATGAAACGGCCGCATTCCTGGCCACCATAGCACTTGTGGCCTTCCCCGGTGAGCACTCTCTGACTGCCGGAGTATTATGGTGCTCTGCCAACAAGGTCGTCTTGTAACTCAGTGGGGAAGCCACCAGCCTGGATATCAAAGGTGTTGGGGCTTTTTTTTCTTTCAAAGAACGAAATAAACCAAGTCAAGTCTCTAACGCTGAACTCAGAGGCTGCAGGGCTGAAAATGAAAATCTGTCCCTCATAAAAAAAAAATGCTGACCACTTTGGGAGATACCAGGCTTTTACTAGTGTGAAGGCGTCTAAATAAGATGGCCAAAATGGCCTAATTTGAAAGAAGATTGTAGAGGCAGTGCCTGGAGTTAAATCAACAGCAGCCCCCATCTTCTAAGCTTAATGACAAAGCCATCAATACCGGACAGAGCACTGGCTCCCCGCTGACCCTGACAAAGGAGGGTGGAAACAGTGTCATAGAGGTGACCCTGATTTAAAGCCACAGTGGGAGAACCACTCATTTTGGCGCCGGTGGAAAGCAGACTAAGATGCGGTACATACTGCCTTGGCCTCGTTATTCAGTAATGGGTTTCTAGACCCTTAGCATAACTACACATAAATACAAAAAACTGCAGCAAATATCCTCATTATTCTCAGCTATCAATTAAAGCAGGCATCACAAGATTAACAGGCAACACTCATGTTAACAGTCAGCCTCGTGTCCATAGGCACTTGAAAGAACTAGCACTTCATTTTTTCCCCATACAGCTACTGATTCAGATTACTCATTCTTTTAGGTAAAAGGTAAAGGTAAAGGCCCTCCCGTTGATCGTCGATTTGCTCGAGCGGGCCCAGTAATGTCTCCATTGGAGACTTTGTTGTTACTGTGTCTGGCATATCCAATACTCTCGGTAGCTTTTAATTTACCTGAATTGCTAATACTTCAAGTATTGTTGCCTAAAAAGAAGAGTCTCTTTGCTGCTGCTTCTCTTGCTTTTCTTTCCAAATGTTGAAAGACGAAAGGGGTCATAAACACTTATGGGGGAGTGAAAGTGAGTTGCAGGGATCAGGAGATTGCAAGAAACAGATTTTCTTGAGGACAAAACATCAGTACAGTGAGTCAGGTACTTGTCTTGCTTTAGACTGACCTGAGTGTAGCCTATCTGGGTTCAATCCCTGATTCCTGGCACCATATATGGTCCCTTGAGCCTCACCAAGAGTGATCCCTCAGTGCAGTGCCAGCAGTAAGCCCCTGCCACTGGCTCCCCAAACAAAACCAAAACCAAAACCAAAACCTGTTCTGCAGGCAAGCAGCACCTCCCCTACTCCCCATACACCTACTCTAACCCCAACCACCCAGAGAAGCAACAAGTACCCAAGAATATACTCACTCATTTCCTTGACACTGGTAAAGTGTCTCCACCTCTCGAAATACTCTGCTCCGACTATGGCCCGCTTGTTTTTCAATGATCTGTGGAAAGAAAAAGAGTTGTTCAACACGACCTACCTGTTCTCAAAACACTCCTTAGCAGAACCCCAGAAGGGAAGAACAGGCCAATTCAGCCCAAATCCAGTTTCAAGCACAAGGCAGTCCTTACTGACAAAGTTGTGGCTCCCTCAAGAAAGCAACAGCTTGGCCCAAGGGTTTCCTGCCCAGGTGGGCATTTTACTCTAGCTATGCAGTACCGCAGAGACGGAAGCAGAGGAAGCAGAAGTGTGTGGGGTTGCTACTCCCAGCTTTCCGCTGAAGACTGAAGCAACACCAAGCAACACCAAGAGGTAGACTCAGCTCCTGCCCTAGGGCATCTCTGCATGAAAAATTCTTTTCACCTACCAAGTTTTTCAGAGCTTTCTGTATTTTCCTTATTTCTGCTGTCATATCCTTTTGTGTTTTAGTGTCAGTGTGTTCCATAGTTTCTTTGAGCTCTTATACATCCTCAACAATTCCTCTATAAATTCCTTATCAGCAAGGTCATATAGCTCATGAATCCTAGTCGAGTCTTCTGGGCTAGAATCTTCACTCACTAAGCCAGTTGGTTTCTGAGTTGCTTTACACTGTGTCCTTTGCAGTTTGGAATTGTTTCTTGTTTGTTGCTATATGGTTAGTGCCTACAGTTAAGATGTCTTTATGGTGAGTTATGGGAGGAATCACTCTTGGTGAGGCTCAGATCTGGGGAGCAAAATGGCGATCCTGAGAAAAAAGCAGGGTCCCCAGCAAGTGGGCTTCCTCAGTTTCCTGGGACCAGGGCTGGGTGAAGCCCTCTGCGTGGAGAATTCTTATAAAGAAATTCTCACAAGTTGACTGATGGATCTTCCAGTGCTGGAGGATAAAGGACAAAGAACAATGAAAGCTCTGAGGACTCTCAGATACCATCTCCACAGTTCCTTTGAGAACTTATTCTTTGGCAGGCATTGTTGAAGTCATTTAGGTACTATTCTCCCTAAACATAATCCTGTAAAACAGGAACTGGTAAAACATTTTGCCCACATCTTGTGATAGTGTTACAATTCAGGAGCAGCTTCCAAAGCCCTTGCTGTCTTATAAGTGCTTATATCTTACACAGGTTCTCTCAGAAAAACGAGAGGCTTTGTCTTTCCTATGAGGCTGTTATCACTTTCCCATTCAATTCCTGAAGATGCTTGGCAAGTACTGACTTGGGTTAGCTCACAGACAAGCGGGTGGTTTAGGCAGCAGGAACTGGCTGACTCTGAACATCTCCAGGGCCCATCCACGTCCCAAGTCACTGCAGCTCTGATGGACTTGGTACTGTCCAATTGTCCCAGTGGGCACTGCCTTACAGGGCAGAAGAGAGGCACAGATAATGCTAGTCTGTTCTTCATTCCAAGACTGCTCAAACTTTTTATAATATGGCACAGACAAAAATCTATGACCAAGTGCAATTTTCAAAATTTCCATATCTTAGGGAACCACCTTTGACCCACTTTTAGAGGAGTCAGAGAGGTGCAGAAGTTCTTCAGCTCATTCATCTACCAACCCTCAAAGTCAGGAAGAACTTTCTGGGAGAAAAGATGGTCATCAATGGCATATTTTCTTTGAGGCTGTAGCAGGTTTTTGCCACTAGGGATGGGGAAGCAGAAATGGACAGACTCTAAAGTATCAGAGAAAATTCAAGATGGGATTCTATTCCAATCCTGAGACTCTAGGATTCATTAATTGGATGGATAGAGGCTATCTCTAATAAAACCAAGTTCTGGGGAGTCGTGCTAGAAGGAGGCCATCTCTAGGAAGCTATTAAAAACCAGAAGTGATATGGGAAGAACTACTGAAATCAAAGAACTGACAAGTCCTGGTCCAGTGTTTGCCCAACGATGTCAAGGGGCATGAACAAAGGCAAGGCTTTCCTCTTGTTATCTGACAAAGACATTGGCCTGGGGTCAGAGAGATAGCACCAAAGGGCTGGAATGCATGCTTTGCATTCAGGAGAACTGGGTTTGATCCCTGGAAGTTCATGACACTAAATTTATAGGGTTGTGAAATAGTGCAGCAGTTAAAATGCACGCCAGGCATTTGGCTGACCCAGGTTCAATTCCACATGGTCCCCTGAGAACTGCGAGGTGTGACCCTTGAGGCGTCCATCATTGCTGGGGTGTCCTGGATAACCCTGGCACCTCAGGGTCTAAGCAACATGGAATCCTCTGGCTCTAGTATTGAACCACCAAAATCACCAGTGGGGCGAAAACCTCCTGAGCACTGTTTGGGAGTCTCCATTACTCCCCCACAGGAAAATCAGTTTATATTTGGAACTTGGGCCAACCAGTTAAAGGAAGAGAATATATTTCTTTTTTTCTTTTTCTTTTTTCTTTTATTATTTTAAATTTATGTTTATAAATATAAACACCCCTGGTGTTTCACAGGGGTGACTCCTGGTTCTGAACTCAGGGATCACTCCTGGTGGTACTCAGGGAACTATATATATATATGGTGCTGGGGACTGAATCAAGGTCCTGGGTTGAATGTATGAAACACAAGTGCCTTACCCACTGTAGAATCTCTTTAACCCTGAAGGGAATACATTTCTTTGAGGAGCTAAAATTTGCCAGGTTTGTCTAGCAAGGGTTCAAAACTGTTAGTATCAAAATCACCTGGAGTCTCTTGAAATTCATGTTCTGGGCTCTACCCCATTTCTGATTCCTAAGGCCTTGGATCAGGCCAGATAATGAGTATTTCTAACAAGTTCCTAGGCCCTACACTAACAGTCACTCCTCTAGATCCATCAGTTCTGCCACATGAAATTTGCAAAGAGGAGCCACTCAAAGGGTCAGGCACGTAGAAGCCACTTTTGTGGCCCCAAACTGAGTGCTCAGTTCCCATTATCACAATACTTTACATCATTTTGTATATATATCACTAAATAGCTTTTTGTAATCTGTAGTATCTCCATTTCTAAGTATTCAATTCTATTTGCATCTTTATAACAACTCCATGAGAAAGAAAGGGCAAGTCTTATTATCTTCATTTTAGAGATGTGGTAACTGAGCATCAAAAACGTTTAGTGACTTGCCCAAAGTCAAAGTCAAAGGCTTGTTAAAACAGATTCAAGCAGGCCTTCTAATCCCAAATTTAGCTATCTCTCTTTCTTGAGAAGGTAACTTCTTGTCAGCAAATTAAGAAGCAGCTTATGAGGGGCTGGAGCAATAGCACAGCGGGTAGGGCGTTTCCCTTGCACGTCGCCGATCTGGGTTTGATTCCCAGCATCCTATATGGTTCCCTGAGCACTGCCAGGGGTAATTCCTGAGCGCAGAGCCAGGAGTAAGCCCTGTGCATCACTAGGTGTGACCCAAAAAGAAAAAAAAAGCAGCAGCTTATGAGCCAGGCATTATTTTAACCATTTTATACACATGAACATACTCATCCTCACAACAATACAATATAGATTCTATAATTACACCCACTTTTCTGATGAAGAAACTGAAAGATAGAGAGGTTAAGATACACAGGAAGTAAGCACAGAAACAAAGGCTGGAATCTAGTGAATCCTGCTTCAGTGGGAGGAATGCAGAACTTTGTTTAGGATAAGTTCTCAAAGAAAGGCCTGGCACCCTGATGAGACACTCACTTTGACAGCATACTCTTTGCCATTCTGCAGGCTCACGGCACCTTGAACTTTGGCATAGGCTCCCTCTCCAAGTAATTCAGAGGTCAGCTTGTACGTATCTAGAGGTGAAATGAATGAGAGGAATAGTAAAATGATCTGGAAAGAATTTCTGTCATTCAGCTTCCCTGGTCTGACAAACAGGCACATAATGAGCCTGGTGCACTCAGTCACAACGAAGGCCATGAGCACTCCCGGCCCTCTCAGGAGGAATCAACTTCTCAGTAAGCAGACCACAAGGAAGGCATCCTGTTCCTTGCTTTTGAGATGAGGTCAGTGCAAGCATTTCAGTTTGACACATATGTCCCGAGCTCCTATCATGAGCCAGACAGAATATGAGACTATAACAGGAACAGAGTGAGAAATAAAATATACTCCCTACCCTTTGAGAACCACAGTGCCAGTGGGGAAGACAGAGACACACAGAATAAGCCAGGCAGTGATAAGTACTACCACAGAGAACTAAAATACAGTAAAAACAAGTTAAATCTGTTCAGGAAATCTGAGGGTCCTCCTACAAACGATGTAATTTGTATGGAAGTCAGTCATTCATTTACTCATTAACTCGATGTGCCAAATTCTTTCCTGTGAAGTGATGATCCAAAGGAGAATAGAACAATGTTTTACTTTGGAAGACAGTGAAGGCTTTCAAGAGATCTGCCGATGTCACCCATAGGTAAGAGAAGGTAGAAGTAGGATACAAGCGGATGCTTTGAGGTTTTAAGGTACTGAGTCAGAGTGGTTCATATAGGGTGATGGATCTGGGTTGAAAGAACATTTAGGTGACTTTCCCAAGCTAACAAATAGCACAAGCTCTTTGAGTCCTTTCCAAAGGAAGCCACATCTCCACTGTGGCCTCCGCCAAGCTGACCTCCTTCTCCTGTGGCCTCTGTTCTTCAGCATTTTCCTTTTTGAGGTTACCTAGTATTTAAACCGCAGATGGAGAAATATATTTTAGCCGTAAGATTAGATTTATCATTCATTGTCATTAGAAACCCTTTATCCCAATTATCCATGAATAATATGGAGATATTCTCATATTCATAAAAAAGCAAGGCCTATTGATTTGGAAAATATTTTTCAAATCTTGGGATATTTAAAAGCTATTATTTTAATTTGGTTTGGGGGGCACAACTGGTGGTGCTTGGGGGCTACCCCCACTTCTGTGCTTAGAAGTCATGCTCAATAGTACTAAGGGACCATGCCCTGCTAGGGATTGCACCCTGGCCTTCTGCATGTAGAATTTGCTCTAGCCCTTGGAGCTACCTCTCCAGCCTGTAAAATCTTGGAACTTATGTTTCTTCCCACTTCCTTTACAATTTAGTTTAAAGATAGATAAAACCATATACTCTTGGTCTCATATATTTATTCTTGCAGCTATTTATAAGAATGTACTGCTGAGGGCTAGAGTGATAGTACACTGGGTAGTGAGTTTTGCATTCAGCCCACCCAGGTTCTACCTCAGGCATCCTATATGGTGCCCCTGAGCACTGCCAGGACTAATTCCTGAGTGTAGAGCCAGAAGTAACCTATGCTCATCTCCGGATGTGACCCAAAAGACCCAAAAGGTACCAAGGATCAAACCTAGATCAGCAGTGTGCAAGGCAAGCGTCCACTCTACTACTGATCTGGCCCCTGTATGGCATGCCTCTCTCACAATGAACACTTTGGCTTTGTGTGTGTGCGCGCGTGTGTGTGTCAGTGTGTGTGTATGTGCTTTTGTTTTTGGACTACACCGTGATGTGCACAGGACTTACTCTTGGTTTTGAGTCCTCCTGGCAGGACTTGGAGGACCATATGAAGTGCTGGAAATTGAATCTGGGTTAGATGTCCACAAAGCAAGCACCTTACAAGTACTACAAGTCTCTCTAGCCCATAACAGAAATTTTAATATTAACCTTTTACACATACCAGGATAGGGTAATGGTTGGAGGTCTAGTATTCCTAGCTCATAGAACATTTGTACTGGAACCATTCTACAAAATGATTCATATTAATGTATCATCATAAGAGAAACCATGAGAGGGGCTGGAGTGATAGCACAGCGGGTAGGGCGTTTGCCTTGCACAAGGCCAATCCGGATTCATGCGGCCAATACGAATTCAATTCCCAGCATCCCATACGGTACCCTGAGCACCGCCAGGAGTAATTCCTGAGTGCAGAGCCAGGAGTAACCCCTGAGCATTGCCGGGTGTGACCCAAAGAGCAGAAAAAAAATTAAAAAAAATAAAAAAAAGAGAAACCATGAGAAGTTATTTTATGCCTTAAAAGAAACAAAACAGATAAAGAAGGCAAGTCACTCTAAAGAGTAGCTGTCAATATTTTTAGTTCTTTGTAGAACTGTCCAAGCATCCACTTTACCCCAGCACAATCCTGGTGATAAAAGGACCAGCACTTAGTCCAGTTCATCACATTAAGATAAAGCTAAAAATGCCTGATGGGGGCTGGGGATATGCATTAAAGAACTGAAGCATATGCCTGGCATGTATGAGGCTCAGAGTTTGATTCCCAGTACAACATCCTTCCTCCACCCCAAGCACCACTCGACATGGCCCTTGCGCCCCCTGCAAATGTTTGCAAATGTTTGATGACCCAGGAATGTCTCCTGAACACAAGGTGCATGCTCAAATTTAAGTCAAATTCATAACTGCAGTAGGTGCACTGTTAGAGTCAAATTCTCTGTTAACAGAAGACTGAAGTTTCTTTTAGACCTTTTTTTCCCTAAAAAGAAAAAAAAGAGAGACTGGGGCCAGAAAGACAACTCAAAGGTACACCTGGCATGAGGAAGTCCTAGGTCTGACCCCCAGCACAACGCAGTCCCGTGAGCACCGCCAGGAGCAATATCCACATGCTACCATCACCTCACATTTAATTTACACCATGGCTCTCAGCTTTCTCTCTTCCTCTTTCTCTTAGATGGCTGCTGCAGTCTCTCCAGAACAGCTGAATGAAATGTCAGAGTTGAAAAGGGGCTGCAATAGATCAAGCAATCTCATCCCATGTATAACTCTTACAGACTGTTCTTTCTCTCTTCTGTTTGAACCATCAGAGGAGGCCCTTGTGTCATCTGAGAGCTTTTCCCCTTCCTGCTCCCTGTGCTACTCCTTTGTTAAACTCTCTTAACCCCTTCACACATTACCACAGCTGGCTCTAGGATAGCACATTCGGTGATTTAGACCCAGGCTACTAGGATGCTCCTCCACTGCTTGGGGAGCCAAAGACTCAGATCTGAGAGAACGTGTAACCCACCTTCAAATTTTCCTGGCAAGGAGTCAGTAGCCCGGGCTTTCCGCTTCTTCTTCCTCCTCTTGTCATTTGCTGCAATTGGAAGGGGCTCACTGCTGCCCATTTCTGGGAGAGAAAAAAGAGTGGTAAGAGAAATATTAACTATACTGATTAAGCTGTAAGTTCACCTGGAGGGGATAAAAAGGAAGTGGAGGAACCAGGAATTTTACAATGATGGTTTTTAAATATTCGAGGACTATTGGCTTGCTTTGATCCAGAAGGCAAGACTAAAGGTGAAACCACTATAGGAGATCATTAACTGTAGAAAGGAAGTCAGACAGACAGGCTATATTAAAAGGAGACAGCAGAGCATACTTTAACCAAGCTCATTTGCACATGGATTTAGATCTGCCACTATAGTTCCTAAAATGACCATAAATTCCCAGACAGAATCCTACCTGTGACATCCCACAGCCCCCATACCAGAAAGGCAAGACCTAAGGAGCTAAGAAAAAGGGGTCCAGAGACAGAATGGAGTCCAGTAAAGTAAGACCACATGCTTAGCAACAACCCCAAGGTTATACACAGGGATTTAGGAGTACAGTACAGATGACCTCTGTGAAGGTGTGATATGGCAAGGGATGGGTGTGGAAATGGCCCAAAATTACTTACTGTGCAAGAGCACAGATCTGAGGAGCCTGGAGCATATCTGCCCTTCTCAGCTCCATATTTGAGACGGTACAGGCAGGGACAATTCAGAAAATATCTATAGCAAATGGTGGATAAGGCACTTACTGGGAAAATATTATTTTCTCTCACTGGTAAGCACCTTGCTCCCTCCCTGTGTTAAAGGGAGGAGAGGTAAGACAGGCATTCAGATATTGGACAAACCAGGCAGGCAGGAAAGGGTAGGCACAGAAAGAACAAGCAAAAGAGTGAGAGGGGAAAGAGAAAAGGAGAAAAAATGAATCTGTACCCAATAATAGTACTGTTTCTAAGACACTCTACTAAGGGCTTTCCCCTGTTAAAGATAAATTACTTATAGAACATGTCATGCCCCTGATCCAGAGTGGAGCCTTAATACTCTTTGCCTGCAGTTAGAAATAATAAGATTTCTCTGAAGTCTCTAGGTCTAAATCCCCACCAGGGTGATTAAACCTTTACATCCTTCTAAAATAGAGGCACTCGAGTGCTGATGGGGCATATGATGTGAGAGACTTTTAGACCAACCTTCAATAAACACAGGCTCTGGATTGTTAGAATTTTTTTTTTTCTGAGAGATTTTGAAATGGAAGCTGGCTATTTGCCTGTTGAGGGGAAAGGCCCACTCTCTTCTCAGAGGACCCTGGCTGAACACGATCAGAGAAATGGAAAGTCTGCTCAGGAAGATTGATTAGGGCTGGTGCATGTCTATACACTGTTCTCAGAAGGAAGTACACGACTGCCATTAGGAGAAAGTACAGAGAACAGTCCTTTCCACAACACAAAACCGAAAACATGGTAAGGTAGCCATGCGACTGACAGCTCTATTTAGCTATTGTCTTCCTTTCATTTGTGGGATATGATGACAGCAGATTTCAATCATACTTCAGAGAACAGGTAAAAATACAGATTAAAAAAATCCACAGAGTGCCTCAAAATATCACTCTAGTCAACAGCTTCAAGCACAAGTTTGTGTCTGGGGGCTACAACATGCAAAGGATTCAAAGAAATAAATCTTAAATATCAGCACCCAATGACCCACCACAGGGCAAAAGAAAAAAATCTACCCAAATATAGTGAGGAATTCTACAGATATGAAACAGAAGGTCACTCGTTCATCTTCAGGAGCCCAGGTGGGGGGCACTGGCCCTGGGACAGCAGGTTGAGGAGGGTGCCGCTGAGGAGGAATGTCCTCCTGTCCTGACTGCCAGGCAGTCCCAGGTCAGCCCTAATCCCCGTCTACTTCCTCACAGAACTGCAAGCCAGGTGCAGAGTACACAGATTTTGAATTCCCTTCTCTTCCTCCTTTTCCATGCTGATGGAGGTTCTGAGGACAAGTACAACACCCAACAGACAGGCCATGTGGAGAAGCAGCAGAGAGCTGGCAGCATTCGAGTTCACAGGGGATGCTCAGACATACTTATAGCTCTAGCTAGAAAACCTTGTTAGCAGCAATTTATACTTGGTTTTCACCACAGTAGAGCTGAGGGAGCCTCTTGTGGAAGAAGCCGACCTCTGAGCAGTGCCACACACTCTATATTAGATTTTATAGCTTTGCACACAAAAGATGAATACCTGTTCTATTCTGCATGGTTTTCAGTGGAAGAGGGTATTGCCAGAAGGGACAAATGGTTAAGATTTTCTTTGAAAACAACTTGTTGAAGGAGAGTTGCTTTTGAAACTAGGAAGAAAAAAAATGTAGGAAGACTGTGAAGTGAAATAAACATGCTTAACTTCCCTCTTTACTCTGGGGTGGAGGAGAGGCTTGATAATTCTCCATTGGGAGTCTGGCTATATAGTATTTTATCATGGATGATACATTAGCAGTGTCAGCAGGACATTCATTATGTGTGCAATCATTTGATAAATGCTTCCACAGGATGCAAGGCTCCTAATCAAACTGGTTCTTGGCCCACCTTCTCTACTTAAATAAGAATTTCTCTCAGTTATTGAAACCCAGACCAAAGGTTTCTTTCTTCTTCGTCTTTATTTTTTGGTTATTTTTGTTTTGTGCAGGGGTGGGGGGCATGCCTGGTAGTGCTCAGGGGTTACTCCTGGTTCTCCACTCAGAAATTACTCATGGCAGTGCTCGAGGGACCGTATGGGATTTCAGGGATAGAGCCAGAATCTGCTGAAAGCAAGGTAAGCGCCCTACCTGCTGTACGTATCTCCCTGGCCCCAAAAGTCCCTCTCTTTTTTGAAGATCCCTGACAACCAACTGCAGATGAGTTAATGTACATATTTTGGAAAGGTACACACAGTACATATTTGGAAATCAGTTAGATTATATGCAAAAAGAAGGTATCACTGCACCAAACTAGTTCTACTCAATATTCTGCTCCCGAATGTCTTGCTAGAAGCTCTCTCAGAGCACTGATTTTATTTGGCTTAAGTTAGTTGGCTCTCCTCAACGTTCCTAAAGGCTGGAACTGTTGCCCTGTTCATCTCTGCATCTCCTGTAAACTATGGTATCATGTTAGACATATCAAAAGCCACAAGAAAATATGCTCTGAAAGGAAAATGATATGATATGATATGTATACTCATTGTGAGACGCAATGAATTTTCCCTGTATCTTTTGATCTGGGGCCATACCTAGAAGGGCTCAGGGCTTACTCCTGGCTCTGCACTAGGGATCACTCCTGGCAGGCTTGGGAGATCATATGGGATGCTGGGGATTGAACCCGGGTCAAGTTTTTAATTTTTAAAAAATACCCCCTAAAATCTCCAATTCACACTGAAATTTAGAATCTAAACATACAGTCTAAAAAAAATCAATATCTAGATTTCTCAGTACTGAAACTAAACATATAGTAAAAAATGTTAGAGGAATATTGCTTCCTTTTATGTATTATTTTTATAATCCTGTGCTACACAGACTTTTTTTTCATTTTTTTTTGGGGGGGGGGCAGTGTCACACCCGGCAATGCACAGGAGTTACTCCTGGTTCATACACTCTGGAATCACTCCTGGCAGTGCTCGGGGGACCATATGGGAAGCTGGAAATCGAACCTGGGTTGGCCATGTGCAAGGCAAATGCCCTACCCACTGTGCTATTGCTCCAGCCCAACATAGACTTTTTTGCGGGGGGATTCTGGGATTGAGCCTAGAACCTCATATATGTCACATTATGCACTACCACTGATCTACATTCCTAGTCATATGGGATTATCATCATGGGAATTATTTAAATTCACTACCATTTGCAATTGTAATGCAATGGGGCAAAAGTCGTGGCAGGAATTAAGTACCTGGCGCAGTGGAGAAGAGGGTATGGTAACTAGAAGTAAGAACTAAGCTGACCTCCAAAGGATGAGTGGAAACTAGTCAGGGTGGAGAGTGGGAAAAGACAGAAGAAAAGCATGTGCTAAGAATGACCCAGAGAGACAGTATGGCTGGTTACCGCGAGTTGTTCAGGCTGGAGGGAACATAGAGTATGTGTGAAATAATAACAAATCAGAAGAAAGAGTAAGCAGGAACAGATCATCAATGATAACAAATTCTTCCATTCCTAGGGAAGTGTTTTTCTTATTTTCTCTATTAAAATAAGAGGGGCGGGGTTAGAGCAAATGAACAGTGGATAGGGTGCTTTCCTTGCATGTAGCTGATCTGGGTTCAATCCCTGGCATCTTATTATAGTCCCACAAGGCTATAATAAGAGGAGTGATCCTTGAGTGCAGAGCCAGGAATTAGGAATTAGCCCTGAGTACTACCAGGTGAGGCTCAAAAACTAACTAACTAACAAACTAAATAAAAGTGGGTTGACTGGCGAGATGCTTTGCATGCAGGAGACCCATATTCAATCTCTGGTCCTCTGAGGACTGCAGGGAACAGGTGCTGAGCACTGCTGCGTGTAGACTCCTCCAAACCCAAAACAGAGACTGGGTATGCATGCTCTTTCTTTTAATTTTTATATTTTTGTCAGTTTTCTTTTGGGTCACACCCATTGGTGTTCAGGGGTTACTCTCACTCTTGGTGGTCTTGGGGGACATATGGGATGCTAGGGATTGTACCTGGGTCAGTCATGTACAAGACAAGCATTCTGCTCACTGTACTATCACCTCAGCACCCTTCTTCTTAGTAAACAAAATAAGTACTGATTATACTGGTAGTATAGTAAGAGTGAAGATAATGGATTAAAGAACTAACCTGGTTCCTGCATGGGAAGAGGGCTCCAGGGAACACAGCAGAGAGAGAGGGCCCACAGAGTCTCATCTGATAGAGCAGAACAGCAATAGATATTTTTGAAATACAGGCAGTGATCAACTCTTCTCCCCACATGGTGATGCCAAGGTTCACCTTCTTTTTGGAGGGTTGTGGGGTTGGGGTACAAACTGCTAGGTGTGTAACACCACCACCACACCACCACCACCCCGTACCCCTTCCCAAAGTGAGGAAACTGATGCCAGGACATTTACCTCTTTGGGCTTTTTTTGTGGGGGAGGGTCACACCCCACAGTGCTCAGGGCTGACTTCTGGCTCTGCGCCAGGAATCATTCCTGGTGGGCTGGGGGACCATATGGGGTGCCAGGGATCAAGCAGGGTCAGCTGTATGCCAGGCAAGTGTCCTGCCTGCTGTACTATTGCTCCAGCCCCACATTTATCTCTTTGAAGTGTGGTAATAGTATTTATAGTACATACAACTACTACTGGGAGTTCTACAGTATTCAGGAGCTACTTCTGAACCACGCTTGAGAGCCAAATGTGGTGCCAGGAATCAAACTGGGGTCAGCTGCATGCAAAGAAGGTAGGTGGTTTACCACTAAGTCACATTCACAGCATCCCCAACAACAAGGCCCATATTCTAAAAAACCTGTGTCATTTCTCATAAAATCTTTAGACACATTACATATTTTGGCATGTTTTTGCTTTTGTTTTTTGTTTTGGGGTATCACCTGACAGTGCTCAGGAGTTCCTTCTGGGTCTGCACTCAGGAAGCACTCCTGGCAGTATTCAGGGGACCATATGAAATACTGGGGATCAGACCCAGGTCGGCCATATGCAAAGCAAGTGCTTTATTCGCTGTACTATCTCTCATAAATTTATAACTATTGTGCTCTATTTAAACACTTATACTGAAAGGTAGAAGGGGTAATTGGTCAGAATTAGTCTGGTACCAACAAGAATGTTTCTATGCAGAAACGTTAGCACAGAGATATGAATGGGAAATTTCATCAGATCATTGAATGATATCATGTTCTCTATGAGCTGGGATGTCAAAATTATTTGGCAGCACTGTTCAAGCTTACATAAGCATTATTATCACATTATGGGCATTATTATCACATTATCATTCTTACAATTACTTGAAATCTAATTTATCAGAAGTTTCTTAGACCAAGAAAGCTTTATATTTTGGGTTTTGTCCTGTTATGTAGGATGAATTTCAAGCCAGTTCAAGCACATCATTTCTTGGTGTTTCTGTTACCAAGTACCTGGCTACATCTACTTTTGCTTTGCCTAGTAGTTGGCTGATTTGGTTTCTGATAGTATCATTACTATGTAGGGGACAAAGTCACGGAAAGAGTTCATTGAAATAGAGGCCAGACGAATTTAATGCCTGATAAAAGAAGGGAGTCACTTGTGAAATCAATTCAACCAAAGGACGATGTGTTTGTGATTCAACGGGGCTAAAGCATTTCACAGATTTCTTCCAAAGTTTCTGTGAGTAGACTGTACAGCATTCTGCAGACCACACTGTCTCACTCACTTGCAGTGAAAGCAGTCTGAGGTCCTCCAAGGTACAAACAGGGTGGGGATTCACAACAGGCTTCAAAAAGGCTGGGCCAAAGGTCCCAGTGGTCAAAGGTTCAGGCCCACTCGCCTGTCTGTTCTGATATTAGGATTAAAAGCAGTCTTCAGAACTGACATTGCATCTTCCTGGTAGAAGAAATGGCACAAGGAAGATGTAAGAGGAAAAGGAAAGGAAGTATGTATATAAGAAACACCAAGCAGAGGTCACGGTCACGGTCCTCCCGTTGTTCATCGATTTGCTCGAGCGGGTCCAGTAATGCCTCCATCATGAGACTTGTTACTGTGTTTGGCATACCGAAATACGTCACGGGTAGCTTGCCAGGCTTTGCGGTGCAGGCGAGATACTCTCGGAAGCTTGCCGGGCTCTCCGAGATGGAGAGATAATATGAGGGAGAAGGTGTCTGCCTTGCATGTGGCCATTCCTCATTTGATGTGCACCAGTTATGATCCCCTGAGCACTGCCAATTGTGATCCCTAAGCACAGAGCTAGGAGTAAGCCCTAAGATGTGTCCCCCAAACAAAATAAAGCAACAAAGAGCATGCAAGGACTGGGGCCAGAGATACAGAAGGAAAAAAAGAAACTCAAGACAGGCGTGTGTGTGTGAGGGGGCTGGGGGGAGTTTGTGAGAGAGAGAGAGGGAGAGAGACAGACAGACAGACAGACAGACAGAAGAGAGGATAGAGAGAGCATACAAATAGTAGTAAATGGCTGGACCAATGGAAGCAGTGAAGTATAAAGAAAACGAAAAAGGCAGGTTGAAGTTAAATCAACTAAGCTTACTAATATGAACTAAAAGGTCTTCCAACATCTGGTCCCCATCAATTTTCCAACCTTACTAATCAAAAGTCAGTTATTCTTTCAAGTAAAAATGAAAATAGTTGCTAGCTCAGCTTTCAATTCAAATAATCTTACAAGTATTTTTTTCTTGTCTCAAGCTGAACTAGCTATGGTTTCCCTAGCCCAGCAGGAGTTATCCCTGAGCAAAGAGCCAGGAATAAGCCTAGAGCATGGCTGGGTGTGACCCCCAAAACTAAAACAAAACAAAATAAAGTAGCATTATTGCAGTGAAGCATACAATGACAGCTAGTACAGTTGAGTATCACTACCTTGATCTATGCTAAGACACAAGAGGTTCTATCCACTGTTACTGTGAAACAAAAAAGAATATTTTAGTACTGTAGCACTGTAGCACTGCCCTCCTGTTGTTCATTGATTTGCTCGAGCGGGCACCAGTAATGTCTCACAACAATTTGTGAGACTTACTGTTTTTGGCATATCGAATACATCACAGGGAGCTTGCCAGGCTTTGCTGTGCGGGCAAGATACTCTCGGTAGCTTGCAGGGCTCTCTGAGAGGGGCAGAGGAATCAAACCTGGGTTGGTGGCATGCAAGGCAAATGCCCTACCTGCTGTGCTATCGCTTCAGTCTCATAATTTTTATATTACACTCACAAGTTTCCCACATACAAATCAGGTTAATATCCTGTAAAAAAAATACACTCAATCAAATGTTATTTTACCCAGGAGTTTATGTTTTACTTAATTTTTTTCCAGTAAAATAGTTCAAATTGTGTGTGTGATTTTTACTTCCATTCATAGTTTTTACTTTAAAAGTATATGACACCTAAAAATTGTGTTTTTTTACAGAAACAGTATGCTCTTTAAGGATTTGGAGATGACCGCTGGACAAGAGCCATTACAGACTGGATTCCACGGGACATTAAAAGATCGCGTAGCCGCCCACCTACGAGATGGTCAGACTTCTTCATCAAGACCCTGAACGATTGGTTTGAGGCTCCTCGTGTTCCTGGAGCGAGCAGACGCCATTGGGCTATGCTAGCATGCAGCAGGGATGAATGGGGGCGTTACTGGCACCTGCTCGAGCAAATCGATGAGTAATGGGATGTCAAGTGATCAAGTGATGTTAAGTCATGTTAAAGCTTTCTCTTTAGTAATGGAGGCTTTATGGGATGCCTATTCAGTTTCTTTCTTTATGAGTAAAACTAGTCATTTTTCATCTCTAAAATAAAAATATCTATATTTCAAGTAAACATTTGAGTATCACTGCTCGAGCGGGCCCAGTAACGTCTCCACTGGAGACTTTGTTGTTACTGTGTTTGGCATATCGAATACATCATGGGGAGCTTGCCAGGCTCTGCCGTGTGGGCGAGATACTCTTGGTAGCTTACTGGGCTCTCCGAGAGGGGCAGAGGAATCAAACTCGAGTCGGCCATGTTGGCTGCGTGCAAGGCAAACACCCTACCACTGTGCTATCGCTCCAGCCCACATTTGAGTATATTCTACTAATTTTGACTGGCTTCTCATGACATATTTACTTGCTGTTCCTATGCAATGCAATCAATCTTGTGCTACCAAATGTTTTGTGGCGATCTTTAGGAATGTCTGTACTGTCATTTTTAATCTATGTTTCCCCTAGGTTTGGTCCTGGTGGCACCTGAGCTCATCCAAGTATGATACCTATATAATATTTTTAAAAAATCTTTAAAGAGCATCTTAGTACTATTAATGAAAATTTATTTTAGGGGCCAGAACTATAAAACAGAGGTAGGGGGCTTGACTTGCACAGAGCAGGCCCAGGTTTGATCCCTGGCATGTCATAGGTCCCCTGAAAACTGCCAGGAGTAATTCCTGAGTGCAGAGTCAGGAGTAACCCTGAGTACCAAAACAAACGAAAAACCAAACAAACAAAAAACCTCAAACAACAACAAAACCAAAAACCAAAACCAAAAGAAGAAAATTATTTTAACATTACAGATACCCAGAAAGAATTTCAAGGCCCCTCATGGTCTCAGAGCACCCTTCTGAACCACTGCTCTAGGCAATGAGATTAAGTAGACAGGAGTGGTGCTGTACTTTAGGGCCATCAAACTGACTGTGATATGCAGAATGCACTGCACTGGAGGCTGGAAAGGGACCAGAGGATGAGAAAGGTTGCTGTAAGAGCCTGGAGGAAGGCAAGGAAGACCTGAAACTGAACCAAGGTTAGTGGGGAACAGAAAGAAGGGAGAGATATAGCAGAGCAAGGGAAAGAAGCCACAGAGGCAGAACTGATCCTAGTGATGAGATGGTCAAGACTACCAGCCGCTGGGGCTAGAGCGATAGCAGAGTGGGTAGGGCATTTGCCTTGCATGCGGCCAACCCAGGTTTGATTCCCAGCATCCCATCTGGTCCCCTGAGCACTGCCAGGAGTGTAGAGCCAGGAGTAACCCTTGTGCATTGCCAGGTGTGACCCAAAAAGCAAAAATAAAATAAAATAAAATAAAATAAAATAAAGACTACCAGCCTCCTTGAAGAAAAGGAAGGACCTTAACTGTTCACTATCACCACTGTCTACTATGGAGACAGGCCAGAGAGGACTTTAATATATGTCTATGAATATCTATTTATGAACTAAAGTCATGTAACCAGAGTATAATAGAAGAAGGGAAGAATTTTATTTTATTTTAATTTTATTTATTTATTTATTTATTTATTTTGCTTTTTGGGTCACACCTGGCAGTGCTCAGGGGTTACTCCTGGCTTTGCACTCAGGAATTACTCCTGGCAGTGCACAGGGGACCATATGGGATGCTGGGAATCGAACCCGGGTAGGCCGTGTGCAAGGCAAACGCCCTACCCGCTGTGCTATCATTCCAGCCCCTTATTTTTTACTTACTTATTTATTTTGCTTTTTGGGTCACACCCAAGTGATGCACAGGGGTTACTCCTGGCTATGCACTCTGCACTCAGGAATTACTCCTGGCGGTACTCAGGGGACCATATGGGATGCTGGGAATCAAACCCAGGTCGGCCGCACGCAAGGCAAATGCCCTACCCACTGTGCTCCAGCTCCAAGAAGGGAAGAATTCAGGAAGGAGACTTGATGTAGGGATGAGGTCTGATTCAGGAGAAGGCTGACTGGGGCACTGGCTACCATGGGAAAAAATAGTGAGGGGATGATTTGAGCAGAGGTAGATAGTAAACCATTGGGAAACTCCATATGAAGTCTGATGCATAGCAGCAAAGAAGTATAAAAACTCACGAATCAGGCAAAACCCATTCTCAGTCAGCCCCAATCTGACCCAACCTACAAATGAGGCATTATTCATAATTGGCATCATGAAAGGTTAGAGTATAATTGGAGACCACTTCAACCTGTCATCATTCAAGCTGTACATTAGAAATATTTGTTTTTATTCTGGAATTATACCCAGCAGTGTTTAAGGGCTGCTCCTGGCATAACACTAGAATGTTGCTCCTGACAGTGCCTGAGAGATCATGTAGTGCTAAGGATGGAACCACCTGCTCCCTGATGCAAAATATGTTCTCCAGCCCTTTGAACCATCTCCCCAGTCTAGAAATTTATTATTTACTTGTCATCCTATGTGGTGGTGACACTATACCCTTAAAACACAAGTAGTTTTAATTTTGTTACTGAAAAATACAAATTACAAAGCTTCATCTCAAATCATATTAACAATGGCTGCCTTGGTAGAATGAAATTAGGTGGGCATAAAATTGTTCTTTTTAAAAAAACTTCTTTTGTGTTTTATTTTGCTATAGGGCATTTGCTTTGCACGCGGCCGACCCAGTCAACCCGAGTTTGATTCCTCCTCCCCTCTCAGAGAGCCTGGCAAGCTACCGAGAGTATCTCGCCTGCACGGCAAAGTCTGGCAAGCTACCCATGACATATTTGATATGCCAAACATAGTAACAACAAGTCTCGTAATGTTACTGGGCCTGCTTGAGCAAATTGATGAACAACGGGAGGACAGTGACAGTGACAGTGATAGTTGTTTTATTTTGTAATTTTAAAGCAAATAAGCAGGGTGGGTCAGGGCAAAGGGGGACAGTTCAAAGAACTGGAGTATATGCTTTGCATGCTGGAGTCATAGGTTAAATTCCAAGTCTTACAGGGTTCCCTGTAACTGCAAAGTCTCCTGAGTACCACTAGGAGTGACTCACCCCTCCCCACAGAAGGAGCCCCCAAGAACCATGGGGTATAGCCTCCAAGCCAAAGAAAATTAAATAGACTTATTTTAATTTATGGTTTGCCTTAATTTATGGTTTGCCTTATGATTTTATTCTGGTAGAAATCTACTCCCCTATAGTAACTTGGTTAAGCTAGGCATCTCAGTGAACCGTAACTGTACAAATGAATACTAACATCTTTGGCCCGCTCTCTCCTCTGAAAAGAACAAAAAATTCCAACTTGAAGCAATTAAGAAAGTCAAATAAAATATATACCTGATCCTTGAAAACAGAGATAGACAAATGGGACTATCTTAAACTAAGAAGCTTCTGCACCTCCAAAGAAACAGTGACCAAAATACAAAGACAGTCTACAGAATGGGAAAGGATATTCGCCAAATACACATCCAACAAAGGGTTGATATCAAGGATATACAAAGTACTGGTTGAACTCCACAAAAAGAAAACATCCAACCCCATCAAAAAATGGGGAGATGAAATGAATAGAAACTTTCACAAAGAGGAAATCTGAATGGCTAAAAGGCACATGAGAAAATGCTCCACATCATTAATCATAAGGGAGATGCAGATCAAAACCACAATGAGATATCATTTCACACCACAGAGACTGGCCCATATCCACAAGAACAAAAGCAACCGGTGCTGGCATGGATGTGGTGAGAAAGGACCCTCCTTCACTGTTGGTGGGAATGCCGACTGATTCAGCCCTTTTGGAAAACAGTATGGACGATTTTCAAAAAATTAGAAATTGAGCTCCCATTTGACCCAGCAATACCACTCCTGGGAATTTATCCCAGAGAGGCAAAAAGGTATAGTCGAAGTGACATCTGCAATTGTTTGTTCATTGCAGCACTCTTTACAGTAGCCAGAAACTGGAAGAAACCTGAGTGCCCAAGAACAGATGACTGGTTAAAGAAACTTTGGTACATCTACACAATGGAGTACTATGTAGCTGTTAGAAAAGACGAAATCATGAAATTTACATACAAGTGGTACTACATGGAAAGTATCATGTTAAGCGAAATGACTCAGAAAGAAAGGGATAGACATAGAAAGATTGCATTCATCTGGGGAACATAAAGTAACAAAATAGGAGACTAACACTCAAGAATGGCCGAGATTAGTACCAGGAATTTTACTCCATGGCTTGGAGGCCAACCACACATGCTAGGGGAAAAGGAGCTCAGATAGAGAAGGGAACACCAAATAAAGGTGTTGGGAGGATCCTTCCAGGATGGGAGAAGCATGCTGAAAGTAGACTATAGACCAAACATTATTGTCACCCATTGCCTCTTTTGCAAACCACAACACCCAGTAAGAGAGAACAAAAGGGAATGCCCTGCCACAGAGGCAGGGTGGGATGGGGGGTTGGGGGGTGGGAGGGATACTGGGATCCGTGGTGGTGGGAAACGGGCACTGGTGGAGGGATGGGCATTTGATCATTGTATAATTGAAACCCAAGCACAAAAATTTGTAAGTCTACAACTGTACCTCATATGTCTCACTAATAAAAATTTAATAAAAAAAATATATATATCCGATCTTACCTACAGATTTGTCCAACTTCTAAAAAGTGAATCCTCTGTAAATCTGAAGTTCCATATGAAGTGACATTCCTGTCAGGGAGTCGCTGTCTGTCAGCTATAGTCATTGTGTGGAGCAGACATCCTTCAATTCTCCACTGGCCTCAGCTTCATCATACCTAGCATGAAAATCATCAAAAAGGAGAAATAAAAAGGATATTAAAATGCTGATTTTTTTTCAAAATTATCACAGAAGATAAGGATCAACCTAAGTATTCCCTAAATCAGTGTGTTATGCCAGTAAAACAGAAACATACAAGGCAATTGCAGATTTCTTTTCCTACTTAAAACACAGACATTTGAGCATTTGAAAAAACTAATGCTAAGCATTTGGAGATTTAAAAAGGAGCCACATAGGACTTTCTGTTTGCTGCTCTACCAGTCCAGGTGTAGCCCTGCCTCTGGCTGACATCACTGGCCTATTACTGAAGGAAAGGCAGAGTCCCTCCCTACAGGTGGGTTCTAGCAGCCTCCACACCTGACTGCTCCATATTAAAGACCCACAGCACAGCTCCTAGGCTACATGACCACACAACAGATGTACTCAACAAATTTCACATTGCTCACATCATTCCTTCTGTCATTCTGTAAGTATAAAGAGAGAAAGGGAAGAGTATAAAGAGAGAAAGCTTCAGCCTAATCCTTCAACATCTTCCAGAAGGGGCAATTACAAAGACTCACCTGCCAACACAACAAGGACACTAGAAACCCAATGGGGAAAACATGTAGAAGCTCACCAAGTTCAATGAGTGAAAACAATTTCATTAAAGACATAAACACCACTAACCAGATCAGTAAATCTTCAGAAAATGTCTTTAGTGACACCAAGATGAGGATGATCACTGAGCTCAAAGAAACAATAGCACAGGCAGTCAGCAAAGCACAAGAAAGTCTGAGTCAAACTACAAAAATGCAAGTAGTTTTTCTGATGGAGAAATTGGTGAGCTTCTACATGTTTTCCCCATTGGGTTTCTAGTGTCCTTGTGTTGGTGGGTGAGTTTTTGTAATTGCCCCTTCTGGAAGATGTTGAAGGATTAGGCTGAAGCTTTCTCTCTTTATACTCTTCCCTTTCTCTCTTTACACTTGTCAGAAATGACAGAAATTAATCACATGGTAGGTGATATTAAAAAAAAATCTCAATAGAGGGGGTGGAGCCATAGTATAGCAGGGAGGTTCTTTGCCTTGCACAAGGCCGACCTGGGTTCGATCCCTGGCATCTCATATAGTCCCCCGAACATGGACAGGAGTAATTCCTGAGTGCAGAGCCAAGAGTAACCCCTGAGCATTGCCGGATGTGACCCCCCCGCCAAAAAAAAGCAAAACAAAAAATCTCAATAGAAGCTCTGAATAGCACAATAAAAGCAACTGAGCAAGGAGCTCCAAGATGAGGAAGAAATCACTAGGAAACAGCAGAAAGTAGAAAACAGTGAAAAGAAATGAACGGCACACCAGAGAACTACGGGATAAGTTAAAAAGGAACAATATAAAAATCATGAAAATCCCTAAAGAACCGGAAGCCAAATGTGATGAAGAAACAATAGTAAAAGAAATCATTAATAAGAATTTTCCAGAGTTGAAGATTAAGCGCACCAAGATACAAGAGGCCCAAAGGGTTCCAGTGAAAATAGACTCAGTCAGGAAAACTCCAAGACACATTATTATCAAAATGACAAAATCCAAGATAGAGACAGAATACTAAAAGCAGCAAGGCTTTTATTTTTTATTTTAATTTTTAAAGAAATGTAACATACAAAGGAAAGTCCATAAGATGTAGAGCAGATCTCCCAAGTGAAACTCTATGAGCCAGAGGAATATGGAAGGAAAAAGTACAAAAACTCTAAGAAATGGAACAACTCAATAAGATTATTCAGCTAGATTATCTTTCAGATTTGAAGAAACAAGACAGAGCTTCTTGGAAAAACAATGTTGTGCTGCAGCAAGTCTCAAATGAACAGAGAGACAGTTCGGGATAGGATAGTGAGTTTATTAGAAGCTTAGCGCTGAGGACCCCAAGTCAGAAAAGAAAGAGACTTGGTAGTCACATTTGCTGAGAGAGCCTCTTTTTTATTCTCTAGGAGTGAGCTATAATCTACAAAAAGAAAAAAAAAAGAAACATCTTTCCCAGCCTTCAGGCGCCCCCCCAAAACAAACAAGAAACATCTGTCAGTGTCTCTTGCCCATTTGGGGTGACCTTCATGTGCTGCCTTCCGTGGATTCCCCTAGGTCTGGCAGGCCTCATGCTCTCCCATTCATCTGGTGGGCCCTTAATCTACCTGATTAGGGTCATACAAAGAAGCTTCCTCCCTTCTCTGGCTGACCTTGGGGTTGGTTTCAGTGTCTTAGTTCTCATTACAGTTTCATAATTCTCATTACATACAGTTTCTTATTTGCAATTTCCTATTTGCCAATACAACAGCTGTGTAGGGAATTCACATTCAGATTTGCAAGAAACATTTAAAGAGCTCCTTTAAAGGACAGAAGAAACTTCCTAACATGTGGCATTGAATGTGGCACTCACTAACGGTGCATAAGTTTGTCCTCTATTAGATTAGGAAAGGTTAAAAACATACAGCAACTAATCACCACAAATTGACTTTTGTTGATTTAATTTTCTGATAATTCTATTTGTCATTCCTGTAAGTTTTAGTTAAACAAGTAATATGAAATAAACTGGTTATATGCCTGCCACTGGGGCAGGCTGGGGAGGGAACCTGGTGACTGGTAGAGGGAAAGGGACACTGGTGGTGGGACTTGTGTTGGAATGTTGTCTGAAACAACTCTATGAACAACTTTGTAAATTGTGTTGTCTTCATAATTTTTTAAAAAGCCAAATAGAAGTTTTTAGATTCTATATTCACTTTGGGATTTCAAACTTCTCAAGTCATGGACCTGGATGACAGATGAGGAAAATTCTGTTCACTGACTAGTCTCATGTGAAAGTAAAAACTTCTCTGTTGCCTTATTTTCTCCTTCCTTCCTTCCTTCCTTCCTTCCTTCCTTCCTTCCTCCCTCCCTCCTTCCTTCCTTCCTTTCTTCCTTCCCCCTTCCTTTCTCCCTTTCTTCCTCTCTCCCTCCTTCCCTTCCTTCTTCCCTTCTGTGTGGTTTAAACCAGGTCCTTTATATGCAAAACTTATCCTCTACTACTGAGCCATATTTTTATTATAAAAAGTCAACCATTTTTTATTTTTTAAATAGAAGCCACACTGAACAGTCACTCCCTGTGATGCCTGTCCTGAGGTATGGTTCTGGAACATAGTCCTCCGGGGCCACGTCTAGCAAATGATGGATGGGGCTAGGAGGCAAGAACACAGGTGGTACCAGGGACCAAAACAAAGATCATCTAGTATGATCTTACACATACTAGACAAGTGTTCTACTATTTGAGCCCAATCATTCTGCTGCCACCTTCTCAGACATGAATAATTTCTGATTCACTGTGTTTCTTAGTGGCCAGGTCAAAGAACAAAGGTAGTAGGCAACTGAATCAGAAATATAAAGTAGATGCTAAGAACAACACACAGCATGAACGGAGACAAGATGTTCTTTATTTCATTATTTTCCCCCTTTTTTTGTTATTCTTGTTTTTGTGATGATTTGGGTTACACACATTTAGTTATGGTGCTCAGGCACTTTCAGCATGATGTCCACTCTTGGGGGTCAAGTTCTTTATTTGCAATGCTCACTCACATACTTGGTTGCAGTACTCCAGAAATATGGGCTGCAGATCCCACAGCAGACCCCAAATGTGGAGTTGCATCAGGGACTAAATTTGGGGCCTCATTTTCCTCACACTTGCAAGATAATTGCACTACCATTCAGCTATCCCTGGGGCAGTAAGAACAAGATTTTATGTGAAAGGCTAGTTTTCCGTTTGAGGTGGGGCACTGGGTTGCTGGCCCACATCCTGACCCCGGCCAGTGCTCAGAGGATCATATGTGGTACCTGGGATCCAAAAAGATCTGCTGCATAGAAGGCAAGTGCCATACTTCCCATACTATCTCTCTAGTCTCTAGTTTTCCATCTGATGACTTTATTTTCTGTACATCCAAAGCTTTTTTAAATCTCATGGTCAAAGCTGATTGTGTCAAATCATGTGTCAAAGTTGATTTGCTAATTTCTCTACAAAATGAATACGTACATTCCCTTTTCCCTATGAAAAAGCTCTGAAGATGCAATTAAAATATAAATTCTGAGTTCTTGTGCTGAATTCCAAAATTTATTTTCTAACCAGAAGACAGGCATGTTTCATTTCTCAAATAGTATATCTCAAACTGAACCTATCAACAACCCCCATCCCCATCCTCCACTCTCCTTCTTTTCTATATCAGAATTTATCATCTTGCCAGTTGTCCAACCACAAAAACTTGGTTATTTTCAGTTTCTCTTTCTCCTCTAGCCTCATAAGCTCCAAATACCAGATCACTTTTCTCTGCTTAATATGTAGTTTCTCAAAAAATTACCCTTATTTCAATCTTCAAAGCCCATTACTGAAAGTAATCCCATAAATTATAGGAACAGTCCCTCATCTTTTTTCTATTATTTTCTCTTGGGGGAGGGGTTTGGACCACACCCAGAGGTGCACAAGGGCTTATCCCAGCTCTGTGCTTAGGAATGATCCATGGCGGTGCTTGGATTATATGTGATGTCAGGGATCTAACTAGCCATCCACATGCAACACAGTGCCTGATCCCTTATCTTTCTGGCCCACCTGGATCTTTTCTTAGTTTATCCAGGATTTAACTGTACCTGCAGTCTATTGACATTTGGACCTGTCTATATATATGCATGTTTCTCCCTCTAAGCCAGCTCTTCTAAGACCAAGAACTTTTTCATCTTTATATTTCTAGCATTTAACATAATGTTGATATAAAAAAGGAGTCCGGGTAAATATCTGAGTGAATTACTTCATCTAAAAATATTTCTATTATTCAACAGAGATGTGAGCCCATAAAATAATCTTTCCTATTGTGCTTTTTTATTCCCAAACAAGCCTATCCATCTAAAGCCAAAATCTAAGGGCCTAAGGGCCTAAAGCTCACATCACATTCCTCCTTATAGCC